GGTTTCAGCGCGATTCTAAACACGGTAGCTGGCTGGATGGACACGGCGTAAACAGCTGTAGTCTTTCACTGCCCCGACCACCTCTCACGCCCGGAGCTGGGCCCGCTCGCGTCTGCCTACTGCCCACCCTTGTAAGTTTTCTCTGACAAATTGGAGGATGGCTTAAGACAACACGTTTGGCGTCTCGACCCAGAAGCGACAGCGGGTAGGCTGTATTCTGGCCGCGGGCGCGCGCCGGGTTTGATAAGGGGGTTGTTTGTGGAAGGAAACGGTCTCACAAGTGGACTTGACAACGACGGACAACTTGTGGACAGGGCGGGAGGGTCCTCAAAGTAATCAGACAGAACGGGGATCGCCCCAGGTAGCGGGTTCAGGTGCCTGTCTGGAGATAAGCCTGTACTTGAGACTGACCAGACCACCCCTCGGTCGGCCCGGGGAGAGGGTGCCTGTGTCGGGTTCTGTCGGCGGATTGTAGGAAGCTGGTGAGGCTAATTAGAGAGAAACAGATCCACTTCTTCCCGGATCTCGGGGCTGGACCGCCAGTGTGATTTCCTCTCAAGGATGTCTGTGCAAAACCGTCATTAATTCCACACGACAGCGCTAGGTATAAGACGTTCAAGCTGATAGAAAATATATAAGATCAACTATTAAAGACTAGGTACGCCAAAAACAGTTACTCAAGCAACTGGGTATGACTTTGGAAACTCCAAAATCATATCCAGTTGGTTGCTCGAGAATCTCATTACCTGGATGTCTAACCTTCATCGACGTATTAAAGACTAGATCACATTGCAGGTAACATCACACAGACGATCTGTTTTCTCCATCTCAGTCTGACAAACAGTGATTGATCTCGACTCGAAAGACGATAAGTTTGACCTTATCTCTTTCACAAACCGCAAGAACTTTGCCCTTGAACGAGTTATCACCAGCCATCCTTGGGATCAGGGGTGCAGGGTTCGAAGCCCAGGGGGACGCGACCCGCAGGCAACCCTCCCGTCAACTTGGCTATAATTCTGGTGGCAGATTTCACCACATGGTCAGCACGTGTGGCAAAGAACCCTGGGCACTACAAGACGGCACCGTGCGGACCTCATCAATCTTGTTCCCAGAGTCGTTAGCGACAGAACGTGGCGGTGCCAATGACATGCCTCGTTGCAACCCGGCGCGACCGGTCCTGATTGACTTGACAAATGATTTTCTCAATGCCTGCTACTGAGGCGAATCCTTTTACATCCGTAACTAGCAGTTCGTTTGGAAAACTCGACGTAAATCACAACTGCAAATACAGGAGTAAACTGACAAACAACGACCAGCAAACAAGTGGCTTTTAATTGTAGGAGCCATTTCCGGGACGGGCGTAAACTGTCAGAAATAAAACAGACCAATTTTACAATGTTTCATTAACGTTTTCAAACAACATTTTCTTGGGCCCCATTTTCAGGAGACTGCAACACGAAATTGACTGAAAGAAAAGTTGCATCCTAGAAATTTTCTCTCAATATCTACTTGGAGCTTTTAGACGGTTAAAGCTGTCTTGTTGAATCGTCGAGACGTTGAATCCCAGACTTTCGGCCACCGAGCAAGTCAAAAGTTGTTAGGTAGAAGTGCCTCCGGCTCTGGTCATGATCTTACATCACGAAAGTCTCACTATCATCCCCAAAACCCGTCAAAAAGAGACAACATAATTTGTGGGCAAACGTTCCTCTCATAACTCTCACATTGGCATCGAAGATTATAAATCAACAGGGTCTGTGAGAATTATCTAAGCAGAAATCTCTCCCGGATAATTCGCACAGACCCTTGTCTTGTGAACACAAACCACCACCAGCGCGGCGGTGAGTGCGTTCTTGGGGAGTTGTTCTGTCAACAGGGAGAAGCCGGGTGGCTTGGCGCTCACGAGGAGTCTTGTTTAGCAATGTCAATGTCAAACAATGACAGGGGCGTTTAGCTCCAGTCCTTTTCACGGTCGCTGAAGCAGTGACCATGATATCTGCACATGTACGTGTTTATTGAATGTTGACGATGCTTTCAACATTGTCGAACCGGACCTGAACACACTGGTGCATCTATGGACGAGTAGTAAATCACATACAAAGACAGTTACTATCACTGACGTTTGTTTGTAACATATTTGTGTATGATCATGATTTTTCAGGTCTTAGCTAGATCAGTAGATACTAATGGAACTGGAATAAGATATAAGATTTTTCTACATATCGTGCGAAATTATAGAAAGCCTCAAAACCTTACTTCTTCATTAAGACAAAGAACTATACATACAAGGAACTGTACATAGTGCATCTGTCTATCTGTCTACATACTTGTGTGTAATTGAAAAAGACGTGAAACAAAACTGGTCCATCTTCTTCTACACACCACAACAAAGCGTCTACAACACCCCCAGACAGTAGCAGCCCGGATCTTCTGTTTACCTCCCGCCAAATCGTTTCCAGATGATGTCATTACCAAATTGAAGGCGGGGGATTTACCAAACGAAATGTCAAGTTCGGGACCACCAAGTTTACGAGCCTCGGGGTCATTACTGCAGCGACAAGCGGGCTAATCCACGGGAGGCCGGGGCTCGGGTGTGTGGAGAGATCCCGGACCGGAATCAGCGCAACTGGCGCCGAGTAATGAGGGGTAGGAAAGGACGGGTCTGATTCGGCTAACTTGCCGGCAAAATGCAGCCCAGGTAACTGCATAGTACTCTCCAAGCCGAGGTTTGGGTTTTGAATTATTCTTGGCGTGTTTTTAGGAATTTGGGCCCAAAAATATTCAACGCAAAAAAAGAATCCCGATAAAAAAGCCTTAAAACACGCCAGGAATAAGCCAAAACCCAAACCTCTGCTTGGAGAGTGCTGCATAGCCATACTGTACTGTGTGCACGGACAAGTAACAAATAATGGATTCTGAAAAAAAATACAACACTCAATCGGTAATTCCTATACACATTTTGTGCTGCAAAGTTACTTTAAACGACGTTGACACTTGAATGCGTTGAGCATTATTTCAAGTCAACCAAGGGGAACTAAAAATTTACATAGATAATATATATGAATCCGGCCAGTTCTGAAAATATATACTTTCTTATAATGTCTCTGACGTAATTTTTTTCAAAACAATTATTATTTCAGAAATTTCCTCTAAATGATTTTGACGTAAATGTTCTCTATTTCCAGACGTATCAGTTGCGGCTAAACAAAGTGAATGCTTCAGGGATAGAATATCACTGTCGAGCTGGTTTTGATTTCTAATCCCATCAAAATCGCACTTCCTTAAAATCCCAACCCGCGGATCTAAATCACAAAGAAGATCAACTGGACAGCTTTAATCTACCGGACTAAGACAAACAACAAGAGACAATTGAGAGTGTGCAGGGTCTTCTTCTAAGGTTTTAATCGTGTCAAGTGCTAGTGCTGAAATTTTGTCACTGGTTAGTACGCTAAAAACTCATCAAAGAGACGATATGAAAAAAACTGAATAGTAATTTTTTTTTTTTTGTGATGGCACATACTATTTCTCCTTTAAAAAATGTATATTTGATCGTAAATACCAGCATCATTTCAGAAGACATCTTTCCCTGAGTGTAAAAGATAGTGGTGTGTTTGAAGTTTTAGATACTAGAAATCACTTTGCAAATATTAAATGACCAGTGCACGACCTGTAACACAGTGTGTGCACCACCATGCTTGACTCATACTGCTGATTAATCACCGGAAAAAACTCTCCAAGAAATCCTTAACCCAAGCCAAGTTGTTTGAAGAGTCCTGTAAAAGCCGTACTTGAGAGTGTTGATTTGATTAATCCATAGACAATAGTTTGCGTAATCAGTTTAGCCGACAATCGGGAGATAGAGGGGCTTTAGTGCAGGTGGGGCCTGTGCTGGTCTGCTGCCCGTGTATGGAGCAGCGCGCGCGCTATCTCTTCCGACCATCGACGTCTCACGATTGATGGTCTCCTATGTTCGCTTGATCTCCAAGTAGACGCCAGACGCAGGGATGATGTAGATTATCATACTTTTCTACTTTGAGTGCTAATGTTTATTTTTGAAGTGAAATTTGTGAAAGGTACGTGTTCATTCACACAATAAGGACTATCGGCAGGTGTAAGAATTCTGCTTGCGATTGTAACTATTTCGGCAACGTTTTGCGCATTTTCACTCGACGTGCTGCGTTAACAATTCACTTCGCCCACAAAGAACAACAAGACAAAAATAACACTACAGAAGAAAAGTAGAAAAACACAAGCGGAAGCCTTCTACGTATCTGCTTGGAGATCAGAGAGATCTGGTTTGCCAGGAAAAGATTGATGGTTCCCGCAGCCGGATTTGGATTGTAAACTTCCCCCCTGGTCTCTCCCAAACCCCAACACACGTTCTAATGGCAACTGACAGGGCGGACAAAGAGCCGTTTTCCTCGCCTGCAGTCATCAATCTCGAGTCAAGGGGAAGTTTGTCTAGAGAAACTCTAGGAACTACTCTCCAAGCAGAAGTTTAGGATTCGGTTTATTTGTTATGTGTTTTAGGCGTTTTTAACGGGATTCATTTGATACTGTCAGCAAAAAAAATTCTGGAAGATTACGAGGAACGTTTGAAGTAGGGGCACTACAGTACCATGAAGGGAAGGCATCCACATGTAAATGTATGACTCTGGCTTCTTTCACACATCTTTGTGCTGAGTTTTAGAACTTCTGCCCATTGATGGATATTGTCTATGTCTTCTCAAAAGACGGGTAGAGACAAGAATTTGTAGCAAAGGCTCATTGAGAGCAGCAAATTGTAATAAAACCGGCACTACACGTCTGCTTGAAGACTACAGGGAGTGCCGTTTGTGCGTTACTATGGCGACCACTTTATAGGAGCTACCGTGTGGTCGTAACGGCCCGAGGAGGATATCTTCCCATCCCCCCACAAACAAGAACAACAAATAGAACATCTCTTGCCTGCTGGAGAGTGACAGGAGTCGCTTCCCACCGGACCGGCGCGGCTTGGGAAGGCGCTCGGCGGGCTCCCCCAGGCCGTGACCCGAACAGGAGGGGGCGCACTTCACCCCTACTCCAACCATTCAGGCTAAATAAGACGTGTCTCATCAGATCGCTCGCTCTTATCTCCAGCCAATGCCAGCCCGGCTACTTTTGGCATGATTTACGGCGAATCTGAGCAAGAAATTTGCTCTCTCTCTCGGCCCCTCGCCACCCCCGCCTTCTAGGGAGTGTTTCCTGCCGAAAACTCACAGCACAGACGACTTTATTTCTGTTCTCATATCGAGTGTGGTGTTCTCCTACATGTGACGTGGCCAGGCTGAGGTAACCGTGAGGCCTGGCGGTGTGTTAGCGAGACTAACTGCATTACACAGGAGTTTATTTGAAGTCGGGTGAGAGAGAGCGTCTGTTGGGACGAGGGAAGGGGAGGGAGGGCAGCGCGCATAAACAAGGTCCCGCCAACCCGGGCCTGACACCAGGGCCTTCTGATGGACCTGTAATCCTGCAATGATTGACGCCGGTTATTAATTAGTACCAATGACATGCTCCCACTCCCGTGCGCGAGGGGCAGGCCGGGAAGGCTGGCAATGACTGGATGATGGACGAGACTTCCTCTCAGCATCTGTATCCTCACTCCAGTGTAGCGGGAACAAGCTCGCCATACAGGTCCAGTCTTCGGAACAATAGCAAAAGGCGTACTGTTTGCTTTCCTGTGCTGGGAAGGGCGCAGTGTATGTGTGAATGGGAGACGGAGTAGACCACGGATAAGCCGCGTCCTCGTACTATCGCCCCGCGTGCAGGGTCTTATCTAAATCCCAACCCTCCAACCCTCCCCCATTGTCAGCTATTTTGCTTGCACTCCATCACCTTTTTTACTTATCGGAGCGGAAGCGAGAAGTTTTGAGGAGAGAGGGCACACGCCGAGACGAGCGCGGCGAGAGGCGGTTGCGAGCGGTGCGTGTGACGGGACATGGAAGCCAACAGTCCGCTCTCGCCTAAAGCCAATGCCTTCAGCATAGCATCACTGATCTCAGCTTCGGAACAGGGTGGACTTCTCATGAGCGAGCTGCACGGTAAGGACCAAGGAATAGACGACGGACAAGACTGGGGGATGCAGTACCCATCGATCCCGAGAGACATGGAAGGTTTGTAGCAGTGCTCCTGTCGGGGACCTGGGCTAGTCATGCCGGGGAGTCGGACCGTACATGTCCGTAGCTACAAGGACGGGTGTCGGTTGTGCCACTGTATTTGTCTTGGTGACGTTTGACTGGCCGTAGTTGAAGGGGGGTTCCTTAATTCGTTCCGCTACAAATTTGCCGCCGAATGAAGTAATTACACGAACGGGTCGTCAACGTGTCAGGGCTGGGTAGTGTTAGGTGATGAGGCGACGCCAAAACACCTTTCAGCTAGACTTTGTATGTAGTTTTTCTTGATCTGTGTAACTTCCAAAAATGAGTTAGTAGGAAAGTTAATTCTCTTATGGAATCCAAACATCGATTAAATGTTATTAAGGCTGTAACCGATATCGCTTCCGATCCACCCTTAAAGTATGGAGATTGGCTTATCTCAGTAACGTTTGGGCCTTGAAATTAAAACAAGAGAGCTTAGGCGGCTTTTAGTCCCTGCCAGGCCCGCCTTCTGGCAACACGAGAAGGGCACGTTACCGCCGACCATACGGTAAAACGCGAGGGTCTTTACCTAACTACTAACACTAGTCACTTCCCCCGACCATCTGTAGAGGTAGCTGTCCTCTGGGAAGATAACATCCCGTCTAAACCCTCTTAAGAAAGATTTAGAAGATTTCTAGGCCTGCTTGTTGTTTAAAAGACGAGTGCTATCGGTCTCCTGACGTTGTGGTTGTGTTTCTCTCTTCCCGTCCAGCGAGCTGCATGTTGAGCAACCAGCGGCTGCCGGGGCACCAGCTCGCGCACATGACGGAGCACCCGTCGGCGTTCGGCGTGACCCAGGCCCGAGGCGAGGCCTACGACATCCCGGGGATGGAGTCGTGCCGGAACGGGGCCGGGGGGCTCCCCAACGGGAACGAGAACAATAACCTGTTGAACGATGGAGTTAAGGACGAGAGAAAACAGAACCCCAAAGTTGCCAATGTGAAGGTTATGTTGGAGATGAAGGCGTTGTGGGACGAGTTTCACGAGTTGGGGACCGAGATGATCGTGACCAAGGCCGGCAGGTATGTATCTTCTCTCCCGTCAGCTCTACCGTGAAATCTACCACGGCGTCCGTGTTCCGACGCGGGTTGCCTCCCTGTCAAATTGTCCTAGTTTTCAGTGACAGAAGCGACAGTGTAATATCTCTGACAGTACACAGGGCTAGCCAGACACCCATGGGCTCCGTAACTAGAGTTTAATCGGCACAGGGGCCTTCTGATGGTTTGTTCTGGGCGTTTAGGAAGTTCTGGGTGGTGTAGTCGGTTCTGGTAGTTTTATTTTTGGCCCCCCATCGCCTCGATCCTATCGTTGCAAATTGGCATGAAATGGGGGGAGGCGCAAAACATGAGCGACCGGAAAACACAACTCCCCGCCGCGGAAGCTCTCTGCCCTTTACACGTTTGTGCTGTCGAGTCGAGACCGCGAAAACACAAGATTTCACCCCAGGATTTCACCCGTTCACGGGTTCAAGTCTCCTGAATGTTACCAGCATGTCAGGAAAAACTCCTTACACAAACGTCGGGGTTGTTTTAGCGGGGAAAACAATGTGCGGTCAGACGACGCAGCGCCACCGCCATTACAGTCCTTTTAAAAACTTCCCCGGGTACCACCGAACAATGCCGAGGATATTTAATAACGTGGATATGTCGGCATTGGGTCGGGATCTTGGGTGACCCGAGCACATTTGATTCAATGGACATTCTTTGCGCCAATTCATGTCGGGACAGCCATGTCATCAAAACACGCGTTGACGTTATCGTTGAAAATAATGAAAGATGGCTGGACCCGTGCGTCTTACGAGTCGTAACTCACGCGTTAGGATTTAATGTCCAGATGTTTTAGGACTGGATTCTGATTTTTTAAAGCCACCAAACTGGACTAGCCTCCCCCACAGCCGGCAGTTAAACCAAAGAGTGGCTATTATCTCCCGGCTATGTCAACATGCACTCGCACTTAGTGTCAAGTTAGTGGCTGATGTGTGGGGATGATGGGGAAAACAGAAGTGAGCGTGGACGCAGGCTTGTCCAGCCGTGTTCTCAATGGGCTGTACTAACCGGCCGTGGGCTCGACCGCCGCCATGATACCATCTATTTGCACGAGGCATTATCGCTCTCGGTCTAAGTGGATTTTTACAGACTAGCCCGATGGCATCACGCCGATAATACGGTGTGTATTGTGGTTCTCTGCGGGCGGCCATGTGCCACAGCCCGGCCCTATACTGAAACATCTACACGCCCAGGCACATTATTTGTTATCTTTCTCACAGTTTGATATTAATAGACTGCCACCCAGCGCTTTTATGTACACAACCGAGGGACTAAAACCCCACGTCTTATACACAATGTATCTTCCACATGTGCGTCTCACTCAACCTCGAGAAACGGACGGAATATGTTGTCCACTGCCGCTTACATTTGGACAATTCCTCAAGCTGTAATCATTGCTGAAATCAGTGTGAAACCACAAGCCAAACTGAAAGACTAAAATGTAGAATACCAAACTAGAAACCCACATAGCCTTTCTTCATTCACAATCTTTATCGGATCTTATGCTAACCCTGCAATATTGTCGCAAACTGAGAACGCGAAGGCAAGGTTAGACCGACCTATGGTGTAAACAATACGTTTGTACTTTTACCAACGTTGTAGTTTCAAATTTGGTGAACCCAAACAGTAATAGAAATGCAAAATACTTGTCATAGCTGACGAGGAATAAAATAATAAGGTCAGGTGCAAAGTTTGATCACTGATATGATTATGAAATATCAAGTATGACACCGTGCACATGTTGTAAATTCAAGTACAGTATTTTTTCAGTATGCCAATTCATTCTAACATAATAAGACGGTGTATAATAGAAAAAAACGACATCGAAACCTATGAATTTCTTAACGATATTTCTACGGAAGGCTCGCGATAACTTATTACGAAGTAAGACATGTCTTGCCTGTAAAAATATTATTCTGCTTCAAAGTTTTTGCTAGTATTTTTCGTACCAATTAAGCTTATTTTGAGTCGCTACACAATCATATACCTACAACCCATAATACTAGTCATTTGGAGCCTAGATCTCTGTCTTTTTGAGATCTGAAATGAAATATTTCTTTTTTTGAAAGAGGAACAGCTACTGAATTAATCACGGTGCAAATAGTGTTATTGGTAGGGCAGAAACTATACTTTTTTTACGTCTACAATCCAAACATTTCTGCGTGGTACAATATACACTGTTTCTCTTCTGTGTCACAATTGATAGTACTGTGCATACGGAATTCCTGTCTACGAACGTGTAGGTAGCATTTGTATCTTAAAATGTCTAGGATGTAATGGTGCAAACTATATCTCCATCGGGGCGCGGTTGGGAGTTAAATTCGCCGTGAACCATGGGAAATGCGCCAGGGTAAATGCGCACGGTTATGGCGACCGCCACACACGCACAGAGCTGTTGTTTTAACCCCGCATTTTTGTCGCCTGAAATAATTCTGTACGCCAGTCAGACCCAGCCCTCTGGGGAGAACCTTGTTTTTCCTTAGCTGTTGACCTTCGCGGATAGACAGTTATCCAGTATCCATGTTTGCGAAAAAGGCCATTTCCCCGCCCTACCGTAGGCCGCTATGTATTCGTTCTTTGTTGAAAGTTTACCGGGCGGGGGTACGGTGTGTTTGCCTAGCTTTGATCAGAGATAGTTGCATAACGTGGCAGCCATTTCTACCGGGCTCCCGTGTCAGAACGACATAGGGTCGGTGTCTTAAATTGTTTGATTGTCTCTCGCCTGAAAGCCTCTCGGTAAATATTGCAGGCGTTTCGGCCGTGCCTCTGTCCGTCTCTGCCAGCCATGCCTGCACACACAACGCCTGAAGGACCCGCACAAAAATCCCTCTCGACTCTGTGTACTCTGCTCTCAATTTGTTGGCTTATACATACGAAATCAGGACAACACATGATGACAGAGGAAAACCCGCTTTCCTGCCACCAAACCGCACCATCTTTTTCACAATCTTACTTGAACGTCAGTTCAGTTCTGTACAGTTGTAAACGAGCAGCATGCTTCTGTATTGATCGTAAACATGAAAAGTGGATAATCTATGTAATTATAACCGAGGCGTAGATAAAAGTTTTCGTTCAAGAATCGTAAAATGCACAAGCTCATGTAGAAACGACGTTCATGTTAAGTGATTTTGGCAGTTGCAAATGTGTGAAAGCAACGCTGGGCTGTACGAAGTTGGCATATCTATGAAGAGAAACGTACTACGGCGGTCCGCCATCTTGAAAACAAAATGGGACGCGCTTTCTTACCGACGAAAATTAGGTTACGTGTTGCTTTACCTCAGCTGTCGATGGATAGTAAGATAGGCATGTCATTCGCTTCCTCCCGGGCTGACAGAAATGTCTGTGGCTATCGTCTGCGCTTTTTTACCCGCCAAAACGGCACTGTCATCGCGGCTCACTTGCCGAAGATACCTGCCACCAGTTAAGAAGAATTTCTGAACAGAAGCCGTCGTGTCAAACTGACCGTGCGCCAGGGTTTAACGGTTCTGCCTTATCGACCCACTAACGGTTGTTTAGTGGAAAATTTACGAGGTGTCGTCTGACGGCGTTCTCCCGCCAAAAAAAGTGCGTTCGATCGTCTGCAGCGTCGTGAACCCTGTGGGAAGACGTATGCCCCGTTGTCACTGCCGTGTCTGCAGTCTGTCGACAGTACATAAGTCACGACCTGACACGCACTGTCCCCATTTCTGGCGAATGTTTGTAGCTTTTGTGGTCTATCTTTGATAGCTCTAACTTGAGATGCAGAAAGTAGCAGCCCTGTACTGGTCTGGAGCACGGTGGCCAGTCGGAAAGTACCCATAAGTTACCAGTTCCTGATCACATAGTCAAGTGCCTTCTTGCCGCTAAAGGTTGCAGTCGCCATGTTCAACAAGTGACGAACCCCTTCAAGCAAGGGCACAATAGTTTGAGTTGATTAGCCCCAGAAAATTATTTTCTACAGCACTAATATTCTACAGATAATTTATCTGGGAAAGGTAGATGCCTCAGAGGCGGCATATTTGACAAAATCTCCCAGCTGTAAGCGTCTTTCTGCTGTTGTTGTATGTGACAAAAATGGAAGTTAAGTTTCCAACAAATTTTGTGTTTCCAACAAAGCAACTCACATTTGCCGCTACCTTGTGTAGTTTTTCCTCTTTAAAATGGCTAAACTGTTTGATTTTGTTGTAAGATAGGTATCTATTTTTAGCCCGTGAAATGGAAATATTTCTCCAAATGTACTTTTCCTACGACAACGGCAGAAACAGTCTATTTTGGTTCAGAAAAGTACAACAGGATTATCCATTACGATCTGTATATACATATACAGTTCAGCTGCTTAAAATTTGCACTTCTATACAGTTTGATATTTCTGCTGCCACTGGGTTCTGAAAAATTGTAGAAAACATAACGACGCAACTACAAAATTTGTATCCCTTGTTTCTGACATGCCAGATATTACAAACTACGTTGTCTTATTATAGACTATGGATATTTACATGTATACTATGGATAATAGTAGGTTAAAACGTGCTCTCGTAAACAGGATTTTATCAGATAAAGAATGCGTGAAGTTTGATAAAGCGGTTTACCACAAGTTTACAAACAGTGAATGGACTGTTGCGTTGTGTTTTGGTTAGCAGAGAATCACAATCAATTCAAAAGCTAGACTTGGTATGCCCTTATTTGGTTATTGTATGTTTCAGCATGCTTAGCAAATGTGTCTGCTCGTTGTAGCAAAATACGACGAATGGAAACATTTCTAAATGTATAGACGTTGCAATGTTGGAACGTAATGAAACTTTGTATGATTTGTACTAGTTTATCTTACCAACATATATTTTATAAGAAAACATTACGTGTCAGAAAGAAAGTGCTCGATTTGATCGTAGTTTGCAATTTGGAACATTTTAGCAACGGCAAAGTCTATAAACACAATACGTTCAGACCACTCTACAGGCATGTTTTCAAGAACTTGTTTTCACTTACAGTTTTTAGCCAGCATCGTTGTATCCACTATACTTGTACTGGTGTTAAAAGTCGATCTAATATGTTGCAAATAACTCTAGCTGGGATGGCATACTGGTAGACTCCGTAGCCAAGTTGATACATATCCTGGATGCATTAGACCAGAGTTCGAACGTACAGTATTTTGGCCCGGGGACATCTCAGCATCTCTCTTGACAAATTCAGGTCGGCCAGTTATTAATGATCGCCGATTGTTGGAGGTTAAGTGTTGGCATAACTGTTGGCACCAGCTAACTAGGAACACATCAACGGGTGTACAGTTCATCTCAACAGGCATAGAATTGTACCGTATAGTGTACTTAGAAGTACAGGTTTGAAGCAAGGGGACATACACTCAACAGTAACAATATACAATGTATATCTATAGTGACTTAAATTTGGTGGCACCAGTTGATGATCTGACTACAGATTGTCGTTTTGACTTTTTTTTAGCTCTACCCCACAACTCTGAGTCTGGATATCGGGTGGCTTTGGGAATGTTTCTTGTTTATATGAAGCTTGAAGAGACCGTCCTAGATAGAGGACTTTTCTCGTCCCGACCGGGCGGGTGTCATCAAAGCAATTCGTCAAGTTCTACCACAAAACATACCATTTTCAAGTCATTATGGCCAAACCAGTTCCAGTAAAACCACACACCACTAAACTGTCGCACTACAGCGTCCTTGTGGAGATTTATGTGACATAAATAAATCGCCTTTCTTCATGAGGACCCAGCAGCACGCATGCCCAGTCCGTGAGCTGACCCCGGCGTCTGGCACACTAGTAACCCCATATCGTAATCAGCACCAAATATTGTTGCAGTAATAGCTTCTGTTTACTTAGCTCTTCAAAACTAGAAAAGGACTTTTAAGCCGGGCGTTATTGTTGTTCTAGATAACTATATATGTGTCAACAAGGTCCTCGTACTCTGGAGTAGTCCTGGCTTGTGTGATTCGGGTCAGGACACAGAAGACACCAGCCCGGGTGTACGGGGCAATATCAGGCGGTTCTAAACAACTGTTTGGCCGGGGTTTGGGCAGGGTTTCTGTAGATAGCCGAAACCTCAAGCGCCACATCTTAACTTATAGCTAAGGTATAGACACAGGCTTAAACGAATGGAGTAAAATTATGTAAAAGAAAGTGTAAACAAAAACAACTATGCATTTCCGTAGCTTGGTGGGACGCCTGATTTAGAAGAGGCCTTTTGATGCAGAGATTTACTGATGGTATTTCTTGATTGAAATTGTAATTGAAAGTATGGCAGATTGTTCAATTTGAAATATTGAGGCACAATTTAGTGCATCCGTTTGGAAGGGTAGACGTGTCCGCATGAAGTCGACCACACACCTCGACATACACTCTACACAAACTGAACCCCTAAAGCCCTGGAGCGAGTGACGGTTTCAACTACAGTTTTAAAGTAGTCGTTTAAAGTTGTGTGTGTGGGTGGGGGGGGGGAGTCATGTAGACTGTAAACGGTGCAGTATACAGAGAGGCACTTTCATAAGTGTTCGACATTTAATATTGCTAGTTCGGCAAAGTAATAATACATTGTACAAGTAAATCTAGCGCCACCATCACACCAAAACAGGATTGAAGTTGGGCCGCCATAGCTTCAATCATTGCCCCAAAACTTGCCTCAAATTATTTTTAAAATACTGATGTAAATCTAAGTTTAATCCTTCTTGAGATGTCAAAATGTTTAATTCGTTGATGAATTTTGATGAAGTACATCCCTTCACCGTAAAACGTTACGCTATATGCAGGGCACCTACATGCAGACTGTTGATACGGAAGGACGCCATGATTTAAAGCGGCGTGCCACCAGACCAATGTGTACACTACTTACACCGCAACGTTAGTAACATACCTCATATGGGAAAAATCACGATTCAGAGACGATGTTATAATATTTGACATTCTTACCGTGGGAAAGTTTAACGAAGTGAGGAGACAGTTTCCTTTAAGATGGTAGCGATTAAGAAAGTATGTACCGAAAGTCGAACATTTAACAGATTGGCCGTATTTCAGGAGGCACTCGTACTATGCATGATGTACGAGTAATATCATCGAACTATGCGAGTTTATTTGCAAGTTTGACTAACAGAACTAAAAAAAATACTTTCTGCGGGTCTAACGTTTTTTTTACGAAAAAAAGTGCTTAACAGATAACGTATCCATCTTTTGAACTGCAATAAATTGCCCTAACACTGGTTACTTAAATGTGAAAACTCACATAAAAACCTCCACCACCAGATAGCTATAATGAATAGAAATCATTTACCTATGATACATTTTGTATGTTACGTTGCAATGATTCGTCTTTGTAAATCGATGGTTGTTGATCAAGTCAACGAAAAATCTTGGTGATAACGTTCTATGTAGAATAATAGTGATGCTAGTATCTTACTACCTTACTTATCTATAGTATACTAATATGTACAGATTCAACTTCTTCTCGCTTTTTAAGACAGTTTTGTCTAATTTAATTTAGAGCGAATCAACGAAGAATCTTTCTCACGTCCCGTCTTTGTTGTCCATATTGTCTCCACACACCCCACACTAATTCTCTACAAAATCTAGTAAATTGAAAAGACTTTCCTCACTTCGCTCAGGTGAAATTGAGTACTGTATTGTCCTCTGTGTTGATGGCGACATTTATGTAAGATTAAAACACTTGAGTGTGTCACCACCACTTGTGATTACAGTTGACACCTTTATTCTTTTAACTTCCCAAAACCTACAAATTTTGGAAAAGGTGGGATATTACGTCTTCCATGGTTTACAGAAGACAAGTCAAACCCTTCTGGCATAGTTTTAGACATAGTTATAGTTCTAGACAGCTACCTTTCATCATGTAGACTTTAGTTATTTTGTACTCTGTTTCAATGTTCTTTTATGTTTGTAATTTGTAGTTAGCCTCCGGACATGAATTTGCAATAAACTTCTCATTCAAAAAAATAATCTGAATCTATTTTCCGCAGACGAATGTTCCCGACGTTCCAAGTGAAAATGTTCGGTCTGGAGCCGATGTCTGACTACATCCTGCTGATGGATTTCGTGCCCGTGGACGACAAGCGGTACCGGTACGCGTTCCACAGCTCGTCCTGGCTGGTGGCCGGGAAGGCCGACCCCGACATGCCGAGGCGCATCCACGTGCACCCCGACTCGCCGGCCAAGGGCGCGCAGTGGATGAAACAGATCGTCTCGTTCGACAAACTCAAGCTCACCAACAATCTACTGGACGACAACGGGCATGTAAGTAACAACTTTGTTATAAATATACCCTCACCCCAACCTAAAATCAAGAAAGCACCACCAAAATTATTCCAAGCAGATATTTTGGTGGCTGCAAGACAGTATACATTTGTAATTGGCAGGGTAGTATTCAGTACGCCACGCGAAGCGCAAAAAGCAGGACACAGCAGATAGCCGTATAAAAGTGCCTAAATCACGTAAAAACGCATCAAAATGTAATTTCGCCGTTGCATGCCCTATCCACAAGGGCGGCAATTACACATTTGCGCCTTGATTAAGCCTAGTGTTATCAAGAAAGAAGCACTAAAGAAGCTGAGCGCTCAACGAATTTAATAGATAAAGAACGAATAGTTGAGTTTTCAAGTTATGCTGTTTTTCGAATCATACTTAAAAGCCGTATTCCAATTATGGAAGCGATATTGCTGCAACAAGAAGTGCAAAAACTGTTGTATGGTAAACTGCTAGCTATAAAATGGAAATACAAAATGAAAAATGAAATTCAAATAAGTAATAAAATTTAAAATCGAGAGTCACACAAATCCAAGTTTAAGTCACTCGGCACTGTATCCTCTCTTTAATGGTATCTTCATTTCTGCTATAAATTTTACAGCCAGTAGAGGTGATATTTAACTTTCAAATCAGCCACAAAAACTCTGAATTGCTAGTGCCTATTGCATACCGCCCGGAGTGACTGAAAAAGCTAATTGGTAACTATGTAGCTGAAAAGCACTTCAGGCAGTCAGAGAGGACAACAGTCTACCACCGGCCCCTCTCAAGAACACAGCCCTCCGCGCCATGTGCTCATTACCGGTAAACGATCGGGACTCAACCGTTACTCGGTTTGTGGCTATTTTAAGGAGCAGGAGAAAAAAGAGACACAAAACACCCTTTCATAGCTACCATCATTATGCCCCTATCAGTTTTCTCCACAGACGCGAACAAAATATTATTCATCCCGCCATAATCCTTCCTCTTCCCCGGACTTATGTCTAACATTCCAACCCGGCCGTTTTTCAGATTAGTTGTACAAATGGCAGGCAGGTTTATTATTGTATCACCTCCACACGGCGCCGGGTGGATAGAGGGAATACGAGTTCAACTTGACCGGATGATAACAATGACAAAGGGCAATGTTTACCCCTTTTCAATTTTAGCAGGCGTGTTGCCACAAAACCTAACCCCGTAACCTCTATGGAGACTTCTGTTTCCACCCTATGATGAGGGGATACCCCCCACCCCCTACTTTACTCCAGGCTTAAGCCACAGTATTTGCTTTACGAAACCCTCAACCCTGGTGGCCGCCCATGTCTGTTAAGCGTCCCGCGGGAGCTTTCTTAAGTTCGAGGCGTATTAATATTACTCTATATGAGTGTGAATTGGAGGGCGGTGATTGCGTATGTGAGGGGGGGGGGGCAGAATGTCAGTAATGCCAGACACGCGACGACATTTGACCAAGCTGAATATCGAGCCTCGGGGTCAAGTGTAAGAAAGGGAAGGGCACGGGAACCTCTGCTGACAAACATTTGTAAAATGTGAAAGGGGCATTGTGGGTGGCTCGGGACTACGATCACCCACTTTCCACTGTAGGGTGCGACCGCTGAACGGCCGCTGTTCGAAAATTCATAAAAAAACAACAAAGTTTTAGTACGCTTGTTGTGTCTCGTTGCCTTTTAAATAAAAATTCTGTAGTATATTTTTCACAAATTTCTGCATCATATTCTGCATCATCTCTTAAGAAATCGAGGGCCACATAAACCCAAATTTGGTTCGCTCAAAAGTCGCTCAGGAATTACCGACCTATTGAAAAGGAGTTTTAATAGTTTGTTAACTTCAAGTAAAGCTTTGCCCAAACCGTTAGGCCAATGTTCGCACCCTTCTCAAAGTACGTTTACACTCAGCACTTGGCATTTCAATACTCATATCTTAACATGGGTGCAATTCTATCAACATTAGGCGCGGGTCGTTACTTGTAGTGCCGTTTATTCCAATTAAGAAGCGTATGTAGAATTGTACCTATTTGCGCCATTTGTGTTTCGTCATCAACCCTCTCGGTCGACTGTTAGAAATATATCGTGAAAGATTGCAACGAGACTTGATTTAATTGGCCAAACTACTAACACTATGTTAAACTTGCATGTCACTTATAGAAGGTGTAGGAACTTTTTTAGCTGTTTTAGTGATCATGATGTATAACATATTGCGGTTTTTGTTCGAGGAAAGGAACCAAAAATAGAAATACTACCCTACTTTCTTTAGCACTGAGAGTACGTACTGGTCAGAAACTCCTACAGCTTAATGGTTAAGTAAATCGGTGGGAACTACTTTGGGCCGAACACAGCTCCCCAACAGAACAAGTGTTCCATATGACGTCTGGTCGTTGCTAATGCATCATTCCCAGACACTTTGAGACTTTTCATTGTTCGCTGAGGAAGTGGTTACGAAAACAAGCACAACTGTGCGCCAAGACGCCATTCACGGGCAGTGATCTAGAGAGGTAAATGCCTAGCCCTGACTTTTATGTATGCACACTATTTTTAAAGGCACTCGACAAGACATCTACCACCATCTACTTCGATGTTTCATCTTGAGCATGGCTAGCCTTGGTACTCGTACTATCCGGATTTTTCTCCGCTACGCTGGAAAAAATCGTGATTTTTTTTTCTAGCGTAGTGGAGCAAAATCTGGATGGTACCAGGCTAAGACATGGCCACATATATCGTAAGATCGTCGCACGATTCCAAGCTGAGGACATTCTTGTGTTAGTCTTGCATATGTCGTGAAAGACTAATTAGCTGTCTTGGTAGGGGAAAAGGCTGTCTTGGATCCTTGTCTGCGGTTGGGTCTGTCACACTGTCTGCTTAAAAGTCCTACGATATGAAAACTATCACGATCTACCGTAAATATGGTCGCGCCGTAACAGACATATCGAACATGTAAATAATGTATACGTCAGTACATTTACAGGACAATGTGGTTGAAAAGAAGCCAAATATAAGTCATAACTGTCAACACTAAACTGACTAGCGAGTGAGTTGTAAGTATGGTCCACCGTTGTCCTTCTGTCTTGTTGTCCTACCAGTCCGATCATCCATCTCCCTACTATGACAGCTGTGCGTACGAAGGTCAGGTTTGAGGCCTGTGGCAACAACAACGCTTCTAATTGGAAATGATAATTGAGGTATTGTTGAAAAGCGGGCACGACAGACAGCTATGCTAAAACGTGGTAAAACTACCGCAGGACGTCCCCCCTAAAATCCCGATGACAAGTCGTGAAAGGGGGACAGAAATGAAGCCGGTGATTTGCAATGTTCGGTCACAAAGGGTCATTTGGGAACAGCCACTCCGACACAGCTAGCGGACAACACTCAATTACCTCACAAAGCCGAGAGAACAAATTTTCGTGCTAACGGCTGTCGAAAATTTCAGTGAGCGCAAATTCAGGAAATACCGACTTTTGAAGCGCAAATTGGCGTTGAGAGGAGAAGAAAGGCGGTTCAGGGCACGGTTGTGTGGTAGAGCCCGGCAGTCCGCACGCACAGGGACAGGTGAAGGTACACAACAACTGACGCTTGTACCCACTGCCACGGAAAGGCACTTAAAGAATAGATAGCCTACAGGACTAGTACTGCAAATGTTTTATTGCAATGTGTGGTTCACAATGCGGACTCTGTATTCTTGTTGCTAGTAGAAGCATTCCTGCGATTTCATTTTTATCTCCAAATTGTGTTTTTCGATGACGGCATCACCGTTATAGTGTTATACATTATACACCCTACTAAATATTTGATCTTTCTTTGGAACGGGGTGTGGGATATAGTTTAAGATCTTCATATCTCTGGTGTATTTTGCAATATACTGCATTTCAGAGTCACGTAGTCCTCTCTTACACTTGATCTTAAGTAATTAGTCGTCAAAGTAGTTTACACTAAGAGTGAGATGAAGCCGATATCGTTGCAAACTAGGAACCAGCAGTTTGTCTAAAACGGTCTCTAGCAAACTAATAAATGCTCGGTCCTACAAAATGTTAAACCACCGTGGAAATGTCTGTCTGCCGAGCTTACGCCAGGCAAATTTCCGTAAAATTGGTGGGAATGACAGATCTGAGTGAATTTGGGGTCCATGGCGGTCGGAGGAAGGCGATGTCGATTAGCTGAAAATATGTCACTGCACATGCAGAAGGGACCAAGAGACATCCCTTCAACAATACTTAATTAATGGTCGACAAATAGTGAGATTCAATAACACAAAACTGCAGTTGTCTGCAATATAAAGACTCGATGTATTCATAAGAAGGATGGTCTTTTTTAATGGTGATGGATTTGGAATCTATGCAACGAAAAATAATTGTGGACACAAATTTGCGTTTCTAGCTATCCCATTTTTCGACCTTTATCAAAATTGCAAGCAAAATTAAGCCCGAATAGTAACTTTCCATTGCTTTATTTTATGATGAGAACACAATGTACAATACGAATGACAGCAAAACACACAACACGTACGCAAAAATAGTTCTTTGTCTCTGAAAATATTCGCTCACTCAGCGGCCGTAGTCTCCTGTAGAAAGGGGCTGTAACAACAACACAAAAATCTCCTGACGAATGTGACCGTGGCTTCATCAGCCTGGGAACCCGTGGCTTCAGCTCTGTCCGGCTGTGCACACACACAGAACAGGCGGATTCACGCTAACTCAACTGCAGTACTGTGGTCTACTGCAAATATGTCCCGGGCGGGCCCCGGTCACGGAGGGAATGCTTAACTACTGTTTGCCCTTTTGGTGACAAATGCGAGGCACATTGACGGCTGGGACGTCAACGATGGGGTCGAGTGCCTTGGCATGTGATAATTAAGAAATTCTGCTCACTAAACAGCCCGTGGAAGGCAAATAGAAATTGTGTCACTCGTACAAGACGTACCGTCGCCAGGCCTTACGTGTACACAGATTTGAAAACGCCATTGTCAACTCTGAGTCAGGTTGAGCTCTTAGGTACTTGATTGATACAATATTGCACCCTTTTATCAGTTCTTTTCTATGATACCACTTGATTTGGCTGAAATGACATCCAGAATGTGACGACGTAAATAATGAGCGAAAAGATTGCGTTCGAATCAAACGGACAATCGCACTGTAGCACTAGTGCTGACTTTGAATGAAGTACTAGTATAACTGAACGAGCTGCAAATAAGAATGGTTGCAAACAAACTCCACAAAGTGCATGTTGGAGACTGCTATTGTTAAATTGTTGATGTACATTTGTATGAACGGGTTGGTGCAAAACGAACTGACCGTTGTTGCAGTTGGTGTCTGCAAAAACTCGCTTTCAAGAGTTTTCGTGGAGAGCAAAATATGGCAACTTGTACATTGTCCGCACAACATAAACCCTATCTGCTGTCGTTTTCTTAGCATTGATATATAGAATTTAGACAAACAGCTCGTCCTTCTGTAGAAGCAACATTGAGTGAGTAGATTTGTGTTGACGTGCTGTGAGTTGGAACCGGAAAGGTCCGGTCTTCACCTTTGCCTCCAGTCCCAGAACAGATGCGCAGTTCTGAAGACTAAACAAACCGGGCCATACGTGCTAAACTGAGCGGAGCATCATTTAAGACATTTAAAGTCTAAATTAGAAGCAAATAGCTTCAATGCAGGCAATTGATTTCTATAGTATACTGTGTACGTATATGACACAGACCTCAGTGCATATAATATCACTTTTTTTTATCAGAGTAAAGGAATACAATTTCCGATGCCAAATACAGATTTCTAACCTGCATATTTACTCTAGATCTATATATCAATGTTGGTACCAACATGCAAAGACGCTTGCTCATTGAATTCATTTTGAAACTTGATAGCACGCGTACGTTGCGGATCAAGCTGAAGTTAATGTTAAATATTTTCTTCTGCCCCCCTACGAGTACGTTTGGAGGTATGACTGACTTCATCATATAGAAATTGAAGACGTCACTTTAGTTAATCTCGTATCAATTCTGTTTTTCCAGATAATCCTAAATTCCATGCACCGGTACCAGCCCAGATTTCACGTGGTGTACATCGATGGGAAGAAAGGCGACTCAGACACCGTCCACGAAAACTACAAAACTTTTATTTTTCCTGAGACCAAATTCACAGCCGTCACGGCGTACCAAAACCATAGGGTGAGTACATATATGCAGATAACATCCATATGTATATACAGTGTATACAGACCCTCTTGTCTATGACACTTTCAATACTATGAAAAGATGTCTAATGTTAGATTAAAGAGAATGCTACGAATGCTACGTATGTGCCCAAAGTAATTGATATTTTGTTATAATCAGGAAACCACCAATTTTACATTCATACTTAAGGGGGTTGCAATATCTTTCTTTTATTATTCACGTCCTTTGCACATACACTTAATTGAAAAGAGAAAAAAATGAAGACTTTGGAACACTGTTTGGGTACATTTGTGCGTCGCTCCTTTCCTCCTTCCTTTTTGCATTGTGGTGTGCATGTAGACAAAACTGCCTCCCAGACAGGTGAATTCTTCACGGCTATGTCTTGTCGTGTGTTCTGTTTCCTACGTTTTGATCTTTTATTTACACATGTACGAAACAACGCAACACGAGAACTTTTCTTGTTGAGCGATAAACTACAAGGGGAAAAAGAAACATGCCCCCCACCTTTTTCTGTCATGGCTTAATATGAAGTAGTTTGCAATTAAAGTTATTGCGATCGCGACTGGAATTCTGTTTCAATGAAAGGATTCCATTACTGTTAATGCTGTTATAGAACATGCTTTCTTCTATAACACGGTATCTTCATTGCCGTTACAATTTAACATAGATTCAGTGACAGAGATGACAGTTCAGTATCCACTACCTTCCGTCAGTGACTGTATTTTATTACCTGACTGTCTAACCTTCATCAACGGACCTTAAGCCCCCCCCCCCTCTTTTTGGAACCTGTTGTATTTTGGTGGTCGCCGCCCCCCCCCCCTTCTCTAGTTGGGAGTTCCCTAATAGATCGTCCATCCCTGCCACCCGTCCGTCAGTAAAGCTAATTTAGGCGGCCCCCTTCCTGCCTACCGAATCGCCCAGCCCGCACGCAACGGTATCAGGATGCGATCACTTCCGATGTAAACCATTGTTCTTCCGAGTACTGTTTCCTACGTTTGCTCACCTGGAATTCGTTTGCTCGTAATGTATTTTCCTACCTCGTCTTTTATCGGGTATCTGTATGTTTTCCTACGGTGGATACTAATGGCTGGTGCCTCGCCCGCCGGTAAAATGTAAACATTAAATCTAGAAAAACGATGGACTGAGCTTGTTGAACAGAAGCTCTACTGCTCCCCAAAGTGCCAGATTACTTCCAGACCAGGCGGTTGTGTTGGCTGCGGGGATGTGTTTGAGCCAGGCGGCACCGTGGGGCATTCCACCCGGCGCACTTCTGCTCCGGAATCGCAACCCAGAAATTTTATCAAAATATACAAATGAAAGTTCAATTTCGCACCTAATGCGGTCATTAATCACTCGGCTGTCAGGACAACTGTTTATCCTGGTATCGTGTGTTGGTCTGACGATCGTCTGTCAGTGTCCGGAGCCGAGAGGGCTGTCATAACGCAGCCGGCCACCGGATATTCGCACAGGCATGGCCGCTAGTCTCCACACCAGGCCCCGTGGTCGGCGGTTTCGTTTGATTTAGACTCTTTCTACTAAATTTTTGTGGCTTATGTATTTGTTATGAGTACGTAGTTTTTAATATAAGTACGCAATTCAGCACCTAGGCGCTGCTATCAGCTTGGGATTCCGATCAATCAATAAATCAAAAATCAATAATATATGGCGCTCGCTTAAAAAAATATAGCGACTCAGCGACCAAGATTGGATTCGTGTGACCATTGATTTCAAGATGATGATTATGATAATCATACGTTTTCTGGAGTCTGATCGTTTGACAATAGGCAAATCTTTAGAATTCAGAACACACAAACACAGAAATTGAACAATAACGCCTGCTATGGAGCCTGGTACGAGGCTACTCTTTCCCCACTCACAGACTTCAACAGAAAGTCTGATGATATCCTTCTCTGATTGGTCTAGAACTGGCGTTACCATGGCAACTTGAGACAGGTGACGCTCCAGCTACAAACTAATGTCGTCTGCAAGTGATGCTAAACTGGTTTGAATGGTTTAGATATTCATATCCTTTGTTCTGTTGTCCTACAGATAACGCAGTTGAAGATCGCTAGCAACCCTTTCGCCAAGGGATTCCGGGACTGCGACCCTGACGACTGGTGAGTAGAGTCCGCCCCGCCCCTGGCCGTCCTGGGGCGCAATTAGCGAACTGTCGCCCGGCTCGCTATTTGTGTTCCATATGTACCAACTTGGCATTAGGTTCTATAGCTTCCATATGGCACGTCTTTATAGACAGGGGCGGAACGGTTGTAGGGGATATCGCCTTGCAGGGCTGCTGCCTGGGTTGGCGCGGAGTCGGGCGGCACACGATGACAGAAAAGGTTACGGCAGCCTCAGGGCAATTTTCCCCATTCCTCTAGAAATGTACCGTGAAATTGTGGGATGCCGAAAGTTTCCACAACACAGACTTTTGCTGAACCCGAACCGACGTGGGATTGTATTTTCCATTGCTTAACACTCGCGTAGCGAGCCACAATAGTTACAGAATGTTACAAATTACCATTACGGATGCTTCAGTCGCTAGTAGCAGGTTCCTGAAAGGAAAACCAAAATACCAAATCCAAAATATAAACTTATTTTGAGATCCTTATCGGTTGTTTCTGTGTAAATCCAAGTACCTCTCGCCCACCCTGCAGGTGAAACACTAATGTTTACGTTTCGCCGCATAAACTCCCTCGTTGTTGTCTTAGGCAATATAGATAGCTACCAAATCCTTATTGTAAATTAAAGACCAACATCTTTAACAAGAAGTGGAAACAGTGCTACGGTGGTGTGGCACTCGTCTTTGAGGATCAAGAAACCTTGAGGAGTTTTCACGAACCGTTTCGAACCTCGCTGAATTCGCCTGAAGACTGTTACCTTGTGTGTTCTTCTCTGTGGGCTCCAGATGCGGCAGAGTGTTTAAACTTCACTCCAAGGATACCCACTATCAACATTGTACATGGACAGGGTTGGCTAGCGGCCCAACACACTGAAACAGACAAACGTGTTCCTCTGTGGCCAAAAACAACAAAAACTTGCACAAAAATAGTTACCAGTCATGATAGAACGCCGTCGTGTGGCTGAGGCAGATACGATGCAATAGGACCTCCTCATCATCAAAACAGACCATGAAAAACTTTTCTAGGTTTTTTGATTCTTTGTTGTGCTACCAGTTCTGGACCAACCAAGTACACGACAATACTGTACTGCGTATTTGAAAGTCATTGGTATTTACTTGTCAAAGAATTTCTTTGAAGACCTTCCTTGCAAACGCCATTCGGACGTACCAGAGACATCAACGACACGCCGAAGCTCGAAGAAGCGTAACATATTGCGCATGCCATGAGAACTGATATTTCCCAAAGCTAGCTGATCTGAAAAGTGAAGAATTCAGACAAATCTACCTGTCATATATACCCTTTAGCTTCCAATTCTGCTGAATTGTTGAATGTTGCAGTTAACACGTCATAACACTTCGACCAATCCGATATACTATCTTATTTACAACTTGATGACTGCAGACCAAATCTATCTTAGGTGAAAAAAGTTTCCGTTTCTTTTCAGGCGAACGTTGACGTTCCACGGTAGGAACGACAGTGACAGGTAGATATGTATGCTCTGTGATTATCGTCAAAACTAACGATAAATATATTAACTTCTTCAAAATAGATATGCCGTCTTTGAACCTCGATTCTCCCATCATAAGTCTATTATCCCCATTAGTTCTTGCAAGAATAAAATCAGGTCTAATACTGTGTTGAATGTTGCATTTGTTGTAGTATATGTGGTCCTATGTTTGTATCTTGCTAATCACTAAGTATGTAATATATGTTGTGTGTTGTGCTCTAGTTTAGATGTAACTTTATTATTTTTATTATACTCAACGGGTGCCTTATAAAACTGAATATGTATAAATCGTCGTGAAAAAGTGCTAACAGCAGAGGACAGCAGTGTAAAATTCAATGTTTGGAACTTCAGTAGTCCGCTAAGCAGATAGATGGTACCTGCTCTTATGCAATAAAATGTGTCCTGCATAATCAGAACGATCAGTTATAATGTCCAGTTATAGCTCAATTGATACCTTAGTCATTTTCCCTTTGATTGAGTAGACTGTACTAACCACATAGCACATGCTAGAAAGACTATACTAGGTCGACAATGATATGGCACATATAGACACGAACTAACATGTGTGTCTTCGTGGTTAGATTCACATAAAAACACAACAAAACCGCAACCAATCAACCAACGCAACTGTTGTTTTACACTAACAGAACAAACAAACAAACAAACAAAGCAAGAAAATTACAGGCAAGCTCAACAACAGCCCGTTCACGACACATAGGAAAGTTTAATGACACCAACTTTCCTCCTTTCGACATTTCCGGACGTCTGTCCTCGCTGCCTGCCGCCTCCCTGTGGGGGACGGACCCTGATAAAGTCGTTCCTGTTTCCTCTGACCCACTGCCCTAAACCTGCCCTGCACAAACTCACAACAATACTTTCCTTCATCTAGCCTGACGTTAAAATATGTGGGAAAGATGTAAAAGATACGATTAATAGAGAAATTATGAACAAAAATATTTGGTATTCAATCATATCTTGCAGTCAAATTTGTCAGGAAATATCTCATCTGTGACCGATAAAAAATAGTAGTAACGTAAGGGAAGTACGTAATGCTTATCATTTAGATTTCAAAAGTTGTACACCGTTGCAGTTAATAACATCAACTCAACCCCTAATTCAACACTAAACACTTGCTCAACCCCTAATTGTCATGTCACATACAATGTATTGTTAGTCTGTTCACGATGTATAAGAAATATTTCTTCGCTATCTGACGGTGTCTCCCCCTGTCTCCCTGCAGTGTTGTAGAGGTGCTGACACAGATTCCTCCGTCCCAGCGGCCCAGGAACCATCACCGACCCTCATCACTACAACTGGTGGGCGTCACGCGGACACGCACCGTGGGCCAGATGAATACAAGTCAGGACCAAGGTAAGACCGTTACCCCAGACCCACAGAATGACACAATGGTGTGTTAGAAAGCAGTCATTTTTTAACAAGATTCAGTGGTCTGCCCTTGATCTTCACGGTCTTCCAATGGTCTCATTGATGTCAATGCTTCTTGGCTATTCATCAGTTGAAGAGCAGTCTTCATCTATTGGTACTGACTCCTTAGTCAAATACAAAATGAAAGGGCCCCGTGCAAGAATATGCCCTGGTTCTGATTCTGTAAGAAATACTGCTGGACCCTGTGGAACCCTGAGTCTGTATCAGTCTCCGGACATTCCAGAGGAGGAGAGATAGTGGAGGTATCAGCCCCGGATCAGACCACTCAAATAACTATCAAACTGCATGTTTCGCGGCACTATGTATAAGGCAAAGCAATGCCTGTGACAATGACACGCATTGTGCAAAATGAGCTGACAATGCTAATGAAAGAGTAAAATGGGAATCGTTGTATCTTTATTCCTTTTTTCGGCTACGATTGTAGACAGTTCAATGGGTATCTATAACAGTACTACATCTAAAGGCTTCGAAATTCGACATCTGAAATCATAATTAACCATTGGTGTTCGTCATTGTAAGGTATACAAAATTCATCAAGCTTGCATCTGTCCGAATACCGTGGTCCCTAAATTTAAGGCCCATTCGGCCTTCAAGTAAAATACACAGAAACAGAACACAGCAAACATCAATTAGAAATTTCTGCAATGCGGAGGTCATTTTACCTTGATAAATGCCCATAAAAAGATATAGAGAGGCTGATGTATAAGTGATTTCCTGACAATCTAACCTCCTCTACTTAAACGAATATCTGAGATAAGCAATAAAATGCACCCCGAAGCTGTAGATTTTCTTAACTTATCTTTTGCCTTGATTTAAACAAACACTGGTAACTAGGCTATGTAAGCTGGTGTCACTCACTTTGGGGGAACATCTGTGCTCAAGTCTTGATAGGCCAATTTGAGACCGTGTGAAAGAGAAACTGAAATTGCACTACAAACTTCTCTGAAGATGAAATGAACATCTAATTTTGGAACATGAGTGCAATTCTCAAAACATTTAATGAACATCTTTACGCCAAAATTTTTCGTTTCTCAATACAGGAGTGCGATATTAGAATTCTCTTTCTTTACAAGACATATATGATGTAATGACAGTTACAACGCTTTATTACCTTCTTAAACCTACGGACTTAAAGAGGCCAGGTACCTAATGGCATCAAATGGAAGACCAGAAGTCATTGGTCATTGACATCGCTGAAAGACTTATCTTTGAAACATCTCTAGAAGACCTTAGTCATCGTTGAGATCGTTTGAAGACCTTGAAGTTTGTTGAGTGCTCACTGAATGACGGTTTTGAGATCTGTCAAAACTGTGGGAACCCAATGGTTTCGTGTCTGTTGACTCCCTACTGAACGCCTCTAGCTGAAATCCAGCACTACCTAGTCAGCACCGCGCGCTCAAAGTGGAACAAGGTTGAATCATCTTATCAATGACAATAGTTTGTAAAGATACTACGGATGTAGTACGACCTTTTATCACTGTCTAATGAGTACAGACGACGACGTTAGTCAAGGCCAGGCGGAGGTCGGGAGGGGAAACCTCGGCACGAACAGCTGGCACAACGTTTATCACTGCCACCTGATTGATGACCGCAGCGGTCCACATAAAATCTGAGTTATGGCGGAGGGTTGGGGGAGGTCGCATCGTTTCTTCGCCACTGTCAAATATTTCAGTTGGCGTTGTGTCATTAATTTCACGACGACTTAGTTAATGCAGGCGGGCGGTTGTTGAAAACACGTGTGACGTGTGTATGTGTGTGTGTGTGCCACACATGTGCGGGACAGTGATGTACAGTGCCTACACTGCTGGGTGAAATAGTGGTCACTTCCTAAAAGTAACAACATTAAGTGTAGTGTGACCGGGTAGGTGGAACCACTAAACAACCATGATGCAACCATCGTTAACACCATTGCACAAACCTTTTTGCATCCCTTTTGCCGGAGACATGCCCAGTTCGTAGCTATTTCACCAGGAATAACATGTCGCCTTTCTGCGATTATCAATGACTCATGGCGAAAACATCTACATGAAATAGCATAATATTGCAACATATAATCATGTGTGAAAAGTCAAATGAAGCCTAGGACGCAAACCTTCATCAATACGTATAGATCATAGATAGCTAATAAAAGCAAGAAACGCACAAAAGACGCTGAAGGAAGTAAATGACAATCAGATAAAAATGTTATATATAATAAGTAATCGCTTTTTGGCGCAAACAAATGATACATGTACATAGTGCAGCTTTTAATTAAAGCTTTCCCATTTCTTCCATCCCCTAGAACGAAGAGACCGGCCGGAGGAGACGTCGCAGTGCCAGAGTTCTCCCATCGTCTCCCGGGTCCTCAGTCCCAACCTGGCCGGAGGGGGGATGCACGTCAACCTGCAGCGCCCGGAACAGACTGCGCTGGCGCACACCAGCCTTCCCGACAACTCCTACAAGTACCACTATAACGGCTACATGGCGGCGGCGAAGACGCGACCCACGCCGTACCCTCTGCCTAGCATGAGACCAACGGGGTACCATCCAGTCAACAACAGTCTATACGCGCCGTGCACGAGAAGTTCGCCCTACGACTTAGATCCGCGGTGAAAACTTGTCGCAAAGACTCTACTGCTGGCCACATTGTAGCAAATTAGTCCATTTAGTTGAAGTTCGCTTACGTCTACGTAAAATTCAAAATTGTGTCATGACCGGTTTTCTCAGACGAAAATCAAAGATTGTTCTAGACTGACTGAGTTCTCTGTTGATACTATACAGCAGTATATTTGTTGCTAACATCCCCTTTCCACTTGAGGTTGTGACCGATGAGCGACTGAATAATTGGCAGATCACTCAACAAGTTTCATAGACAAAGAACAATTTTACGTAGTACTTTGCATCCACTTTGCGTGGATCATATTCAAATTATACAAACCCATTTTTGGCCGTGCAGCGATCACCCTCTGGTGGAAAGGGGCCTATTGAATTCGAAGACAATGCAAGTTGGAGAAGAGATACGAGTGCAAATATTGTTACGTACTGCACTTATAAAAATGAACTTTTGTAAGTCTTGTAACAGAATGTACAAAGAACACAACCCTCTGACGCAGTGCCTGCTATCAAATAGTTCCATGTTCTTAACGTTTCTACTACACACTAGATGTATATTTATAGTTTCGACCCGTAACAAAACCGTTCCACAGTCATCACATGTGTTTGTAAATATGAGAACTATACATCTTTTGTATCGTTTCTATGATTGTTGCTTTTTTTCTTTGATACATGACTTTTTGTTACGTTCTTATGGTTACATTTTGAGGCGATGTGGCTACTGATATCTTTTATAAATATGTACAGAAATCCGTTGCCCTAGTTAGACGAAGTTATATGTTATTTAGAGTATGTTTTGTAGACTAAGTATCAAACGTGTAGACTATATTGAAAGAGGTAGCAGGTTAAAACTGATTGGACACACTGTGCCAGTCGCCATGACAGTCACGTGACCGCATCTACCGCGCAGGCTCAGAATGACCATTAGAAATGCGTGTCGAATCGGTTCGGTTCAAGTTGGTTACAAAGTTCCGTATGCTGCCTTCACATGTAACTCTATTTTTGGAACTATTAAAAGTATAAGTTATATCCAAACCATGACCAGTGTTGTTGCGATGTTTGCTTAACTTATATGTTTTCTTTATTATTAGTCTCAAATTCTGATGTTTTGTTCAAACGCTGTTGGTTAAAGATGAGACAATGAAAGAATAAGGCTATAATATATACTAATACATAAGTAATATAGACACAAACGACACAAATGACTTAATGTGAAAGAGAGCCAGCCATAAATTGTACTCCCAGAGAAGACATTAGGCCTGTTTTGAAAATTTTCTTTTTTTTTTTATGTGCGTTTTCTCATGATTTCTGTTTTGACAGCTTTTGGTATTACGACCTTAAAATCTTTTAATTAAAGTCCAAACCAGACCTAACTTCTGCTTGGAGAGAAATAAATCCCCCCCCCCTTGCGGCTACCCGTGCGTCTGTCCTCACCCAGCCCGGTCACCTGTGTCACAGTAGCCCGTTTACGTTAGGGCGGGCGGTCTTCCTCCGCGGTGTTGAAAATCCACTCAGCGAGCGGCCTTTGGTCTTTATTGCCCCGCGATCTTGATTAATCCAATTAGCGAGTTAAAAAAGACTTCGAGGTGGGTCCGTTTTGCTGTGAGTTCCCTGCTAGCTAGCCTGGTGACCATCCTCTCCTGGGCTCTTGTCGTCTTGCTAGACGCATGGGTGGCTAGACGGTCTTGCTAGACCACTACGTATTGGCTTTAGAGTGTTTAGCCCGGTTTCTAGGAACAGGACCTCGGCTCTGATAGTCTGTATTTCCAACCGACTTTTCTAATACTAAAGTACCTAATTGAAACCCCTAGCGTGCACTGGGCGTGAGACTGGGCGGACGGGAACACTCGTAGAGATCGGTGAAGCCACGCCGGTCTGTTCGCCAGGCTACCGCCACTACTACTCTCCGGGATGGGAGCCAGACCCGGCCGATCATCACCAGATGGACCGCGTTGAGAAAAATCGGGCTAAAGTTCCCCGAATTCCTCTGGACGGAAAAGCGGCAGCACGGGGAGGTGATCCATCATCCTTACATAAATATACTGTCGCCGGGCCCGATAATTATAGGGAGGCAGGAGGGGATAATGAGCGCGGGCTCGGCGGGCGGGTCGCGGGGGAATCCCGCCGGGGTATCGTCTTCGTGCCCCCTGACCTCTCGGTGGGCTCCCGTTACGGTAGCGCGCTCTGAGGAGGATTAACGCGAATCTGGTGGATAAACAAAGGGTCGGTTTGGCGGATCCGATTCTGCCAGGTATTTAATTACCATAACTGTCGCCACAGACGCTACACATGCAGAAGGGATAGGTGTAACTACGGTGTGTCGAATAAACGTATAACTCGAACTTGTCGAAGTGATAATTATACGAATGATCAAGCAGATGTGTGGTGGGGTGACCACGGCGTTCTCAGACCAGTGTGTCATGACGTCACGAAAACGAGTTCACATCAGAGAATACCGGAGTGTGATCCTCCATCGCTGCATCTTGTCGATCATTAAATATAGGGAAAAAACATTATACTGCACTTTAGAACCTAAATTTATACAGACGGACAACTTTGTGGGGGTGTTCAAAAAAGACAACGGGGGGGGGGAGGTCTAGTTGTTAATCAGACTAAATTTGGAATATGAATAAAGGATGCTATTAGCCTGTTTTGATTGTCCTTCGATGTAAGTAGTTATTACCAGTTGAACTTAACTTTTCTTTGAACAAACTTATAAGTGACTGCCTACTTTCAGGCAATACATTAAAGAACAAAACAATGCCGTAATTGTGTAACGAGTCTTCTTCAATTGTGATTATAGAATATTTGCATTACATATTTTCTATAACGACAAAAATCTAGACTGTGATATTTTGTTCAACGTGTTCGTTCAACGTGCACCTAATGCACAGGAAAGCAGAGAAGACGGAGAAACACGCGATACGTAAGAAGGGTCAGACTGGAGCCCGAAAACAACGTTTTGCACCACCAAGGTTAATCTATTGGCACCCTGGGAGACAGTAGATCCCTGTTAGGAGAACGGTGAATCACACTGTGCCACCGACAACGCTTTTTGCGAGTACGTTAAAACACGCACAACTTTCCCAGCGGATTATGTGATATACAATGACTTTATTTGCAACCTTACGTCAAAACCGAAAAGCTAACTGGAAGGTTATATACAGAATCTGGTGTTACCACATACACTTACTGACTTCTTTGAATGGGTTGGCTTCTTTTTTGGTGGCAGTGGCAGTGGTCAATGAGTATTTTCTGTGGATTTTTTTTAGGTATTCTAGATTGAGATTGTGGTAACTATTTGGAAATGCCTGTTTCTTTCAGTGTCATAATGAGGGACACCGGCGTTTACAAATGATGTATCATCATGTATTTCCTTTTTCACTGCATTTATTGTACAACACTTGCACTGTCTCTCATGAACCGTCTATTTGAGTACAAAAACCAGGTAAACGTGCCAGAACCCGTACAGCGTGGTAGACTGAAACATTTCAATCCGTAGCCAGCGATAGTTGAAATTAAACACCTCCGGTAGGGCTGGAGGGTCAGGGAGCGGCGCTGGCCAGAAATTAGCGGGAACACGAGAGAGAATGTTGCACGCGCTCGCTAAGACCCTGAAATCGGTGAAAACCCCGCGATGACAGATTATTGACAGGGACTGCAGTTAAACGCTGCCCCCCTGCGAGGCGAGACCGCACATGTGGAGGGGGCTTGTACGGCGGACCACCGCAGGCAGCCCGCAACTCAACCTCAAACACAACGGCGGAATATCTGAAGACCAGAAAAGAAAATAACAGGCGCACACGAAAGCCAATACAAAAGTCTGAGCCGCTTTCATCACACAAAAATAAGAAAATACAATTATAATCAATTTGATATTAAGGTGAAAATATCTAATTGTAAAAGTATAATCATATACACCTTCTTCTTCAAGCTAAAATGAGTTTCCATTTCCATTTATCAGCCTTCAATCGGAAACATAATTTAGTGAGCAATAGAAATTAAGGTTTGCGGGCTGTACCAATGGCTTTCAAACCATTATTACATTTTCCCATCTCAATCAATCATTATAGATGCATTGTAGTACACCGTGTTTACGCTGGAGGGCGTTGCTATCGCTGGCTTGCTTCTTATCTTGTCAACATTATATGGGTCGCAAGGTAGCGCAACTGCACATGCCTATCCATAGGCCGAATTAAGGAATGAAGTCACATGTGAATGAGTAGCGCTGTCTTCTATTGGTTGACTTTCTTTACATTTGCACCGATGGCCAGGGTGTATCAGTACAATGCGACATCATAGAAGAACTTTATTGCACGACAATTTTTTTTTTTTATTCCGAAACATGTAATCACAAGACGTGGTGACGACACACTCAAGTTTTTTCAACTTATATTAATGCCGACACCAACACAAGGACAGTACAATACTCATTTACACCTGAGCGAAGTGAGGAAAGTCGTGTAAAGTGCCTTTCCCAAGGGCACAAGATCGGTGGCATGTCAGGACTCGAACCCGGGGCCTCTGGTTCCGAGTCGAGAACGCTGCCGCTGCGCCACACGACCCCACTATGCACTACAATTGCATATGGTACAATGTATGGCAAACTTCATAAAGAGATAGTAACAACAATAAAATAAGTGTGTTGCATAAGACCTAATGTCGAATAAAACCTAACATATCTATATCATAATCATTCAAATAATAAGGGATATCACAATTTTTTGATAAAGTGTTACAATCGAGTGGGCTAATCACAAGTTTCGGCATTTTTTCATCATATGCTACACTGGATCTTTACAGGAACGTTGGTGCGATATTTTGAGATGGAACAGCGAGTCACAACTTCGATGGGGTCAACAGCAACACTACGTAGTCGGACTGAGGCCAAACAACAAATATGGGGGTTTGAAACCTCTCGTCCAATGCGCTGTAGCGTGGTTCTAATCAATCAGAGACGCTATAAGCTATCCAAATAAACTTCGACACGATACGGAACATCTTGTTTATAGACAGGGAACTTTGGTGAGAGACTACAACAAAGGCTGATGACGATTAGGAAATGTAGCCTTAAACTTTCAAGATGTCTCGAAAAGCTCCAAAAATAGGAACCAATGAAGCAGAAACGGGTAAAAAAAATGTAATAGCACCGTATTCTAACGTAACTGTGAACACCCCCCCCCCCCACACACACACTGTCTGGTCTCTCTCCATATGTATAATATAATATGTATACCTTACCGGTACTTTTCATAACTTACCGGAATATGATTCTAAATCAGGGTGTCGTTGGTAGCTCTATTGTCAAACTGTAGCGTTGGTAGGCCGGATGGACAAGGTAGACAGAGGAAGAAATTCATAAACTGGCGGGAAGGTTGAACTTTCACCTTTGACCTGTCAAGGTTCCCCCTTTTATTACCCAGCGGACCGTGATGTTTCAATATACAACAGCCGGTCGATATCGCTTTGAAATGTAGTTTTCTCCGTGTGTTTTGCTATGGAACTTTGTTGAAGCCTGGTAGATGCAAGGACGTCGACATTTCCTTGATGGATGCTAGACTTATAACTTACATAAGAAACTTACTCCACCATGCTAAACTAGACAAGTCTGATTGACAAGAAATATACTCGCTTTATTCACAGGTACATTCGGGAATTTTTATCTCACTGGACAAACTGACAACTGAACCTGCAGTGACGTGACAGAAAACACAAAACAAACATGACGTGGTGCGTACATTGCCACACAAATTCACACAAATATAGACTCCTTAACATTTCACTTGTCTTATAGCGTCACCAGTCTGCGCTCTTGAAAAATAGCTATATACAGGAAATTGCACTTGCCTTTTCATAAATACTTTGGTCCCTGGTAAGGCACGTGTTTAGAGATGACATTTTGATTGATTAATTTGAGAAAAAGTATGTATATATGCAACGGCTTTTTAGAATTGTTAATTCGCACCCGAAAATGATACATTTAGAGTGCGCCATCACCAAAAGACTTGCTATACTCGACTCATACAGTGCAGCGGTGTAACAGTTCGAATGCCAAACTCGTACATAGATTCAAACGTGTCAACAACGACACAAGATGCAAAACTTGTGACCAATTGACCACTGCGAAAACAACCATTATTATGATAACTATAAGAACCTATGGATTATGTTGTGTCATTGTATCGTTTTAGAGATTTTACAAACTTCTCACTGTCTGCCCAGTTTTCTGCGACCTACCTCCGCTGATAACTATGTGACAATTCCATTTCACATGATCCGTTTACATATCTAAAAACTAAACAGTATTTGATAACCAAAGAATACGACAGACTTCAAACCGTTCTGCTTTCCAAACGTAAAATAATTATTTTGTCCTGACAAAATGACCAAGGATCAATAAAATTTGCCTTTATAGAATCCAATCAGTTATCAGACTTTTAAAGTATTATTGCAAGCTAATTCCAATTTGGAAGAAACATAGAACATTTTCAAGACCATGATGTTTTTGAAATGTGAAGTATATCGTCTGGATGTTTCCACATCATAAATGAAACAATTTACACAATAAATACCTACAGTTAAAACGTCGCTACAAAAACGTTCATTGTCATTGAACACAGACACTGGATCCTGCCAGCTTATACCTTTTTTGTCAGTGATTCTTATCTTCCAACAGAATGGGTCTTTTCAGCACTGGTGCCTTTGATATTGCCTGGAAAACCATATTCACTACCTCAAAACTCTGGTTGAGTTCTTGAGAACAATGCTTGATTTCTTTTCTGCCACTTTTCCTGATTCTTGAGATGAATTTGAACTAAGCGCCGAGGTGATTGGAGTTTATACTTCTGGACGGTACTCCTCTGGCAGTGCTGTTTTGTTGTACAGTCTGAGGGACAACGCCACAGTTTGGATGTACAAGTTGATGGACGCTCGCATCTCTGGCGTGTACGGATCGAAGTCGATATGTTTGTGCCTTTTGAACTTCCCGTCTTTGTTCGCCTCGAGGCAATACATCCTTTCCTGGGACACGGGGAGGTTCAGGAATTCCAGAACCCTCCTGATCTGCCCGACCACGTCTCGTTGGAGGTCCTCGTAGTACACGATGAGGAGGTTCTTACAGTAGCGGATCCAGTTCATCGCCGTGTTGGTCCAGGTTTGCGACTTCCCCGTCACAAAGTCTACCCATTCTGCGGATGAAAAAAAAACAAACAATTAAATTTCCGAATTTGAAGATTTCCATTGAAGAACTTTTATCTAGTGTAATCTGTTAATCCGTTAGACAGGAAAGACAAAAAACTTTTAGACCTTTCAAGCAGATGTTTGCTGCAACGAAATTTGATTGGTTTTATAATTGGAATATGATGCATATGTATAATGTAAAAGTTGATTTTGTTAAATCTTGTTGAAATGACAAGAAAACGTTCCATATCTTTGGTTGCCATTCGGTGCGTTGAGAACAATCGATCGCTACCCCAATTAAAAAGGAGACATTAGAAATTAGGAGTCATAGCCTTGTACAGCACGGATCATATGCAGCCTGTAAAGCTATAGCTCATACAGCTCTAATTTTAGTGGCTGAACGGTACGGGTCCCAACCGATAGAAATAGGACTTTAGATCTCGCCCTGACCTTGTGACTGGTACTTGGTCATCCTGGCCAGCCCCGTGTGCCCGCCGTGCTTCCTGTTGTGCTCCGACACGATGGCGTTGTACGGGTTGCGGATGATGAGGATGGCGGAGTCAAACTTCTCGATGTGCGGTCTGTCGAACCTGTGACTCTTCACCGCCACTGTGTTTCTCTTCAACCAGTTCTCCTTCTCTCCTCTAAACCCTGAAGCGACAAGACGTTACCGTTACCAAGCGATATAGCATGAACCTTTTACTACTACGAAAGTTAAAAGGATGGCATCCAGGCTGGGAACAATATTTATTAATTTGGATTTGAGTTGATGTGTTTGGGTCTTCAAATAAAGCTGTGACTTCCATTGGGTCTTGTATGTTTTTGTTTCGCACGTGAAGCCTCATTCTGTACTAGTCCTGAATGGAAAGTTTTAAGGATCCTCAGATCATCTTTCCAGCGATTTGCTTCCCAGGTAGAAGCAGGGACATGGTTCTTAAACCCCAGACGTTCACTCAAGTGTTCAGTAAGAAGTGGGTACAATCCAAAACTAGTGTGGTGCGTCGACGGACAGTTATACTGGCTCTACAGATACAGAAAGTCGAAAGTACAGAATTACCCTTGTTGAAGAGGTCTCCGTCGTTGTAGAAGCTGCCCGTGTAGATCCCCGTGGCCGTCTCGATGAGGTGGCGGACCCAGGTGTTGCCTGAGCCCGGGAAGCTGACCAAGGCCGTCAGCGGTCGGCTGTTGGTCGGCAACAGGACCGTCTTCGTGCACCGGATGTCTGGGGAATGTACGATAGGTAAAATGCCCATTTTCCGTCTAGGTGAAGCATGGTGTTTGTGAGTAGATGATAGTTCATCGATGAAGGTTAGGCATCCAGGTAATGAGATACACAAGATTACAGTTACACAATCAACTGGAAACATGATGAATCTATCCAGTTGCTTGAGTAACTGTGTACTAGATAGTAGTGCATTGTGATTTATATATCGTATGGTACCGGTGTACCCTTCATCTTAAGACTTAACCCTATTCAGACGGGAGGGGGGGGGCTTTTGAGGCCCTCGCCAACTTTCATCTCAGATAGCACCTGAACGGCTTGCGCTAGAACCATGAAATGTGGTGACTTTTCCTAAATATATCTGGGAACAATTTCAAACATTAAGATAAGTTAATGAATTTTCATGTTGCCATGACAACGGGTTTCTGACAGGCAGTTTTGGATTAGGCAAAAAAAAATTTGATGAAAGAGAGATGATCCTATTCACCTTGTATGACAGTCCTGTAGGCTGAGAAATGAGTCAGGCTACCGCAGCTGTTTGCCCGGTCGTCAGGGCAACTGTGGTCACAAGTGTCGTCTGCGACCTGGTCTGTGAGGTGGAAGTGCTCGCCGATGTCAGCGCACCGACACACGGTCGTGTTGTACAGCACGGCGAAGGTGAAACTCTGGACAGACAGGCACTGGTTAAATATTGACATGACGAGACAACCCATGCATTTCGCAGATAGAATAATATCTCAAAAATGTGTAACGCTAGAAATTCGACCATTTGTAGTTGATCCCATCCTATATCGTCTTTGTAAGGTAGATTAGTCTCATAGGATCTTTATTATGTAGCAATAGATTCCAAACGTTGAGCATTGTTCAATTGTTATACAATATAAACTTCATAAATGATATAAATAGGTGTAAGAGCTATTAGTTATTAATTATGATATAATGATAAACTCTAGTCTACTCCAATGTTCGAATAATCATGATTTTGTCAGAATGAAACTGTCCTAAAACCCTACCCCTAGAAAGCAGTGGGTGAGACATTTCTTGGGCGTTTGTTGTTCGTCGATCAGTGGTGGGGAGGGGAAGGCCTTGTCGAAGTCAGCCGCCATCGGGTAACAACCACGGAACGGGGTCTCATCTTTCGGATTTGGGGACCCCTCTGTACAGAAAATAAACATGGTGAACTTTGAATATCCTTGTACTTAAATATATATAGTGACGTTTACAACAAGGAGGCTAGATAAAACTTATTTAAGTGGAGTAACAATTACAGCTGTAGGCGAATGATTTGTTTTGTTTTGAACACAGGAAAAACAACATCTTTCTACAATTCTAGAAGGAAAGTGTGTGAGTGGATACAATGTACATGAAATAGACGATTCCTAGAAAAAGTTAAGAGTGTGGTGGAAATTAAGATATGCACGGATAGTTTAATATTATCAACATTCATTCAAGATTGTTAGTAATACATCATGAAGACATCGGAAAATTTCTGTCTTTTGTCTCAGAGTTTCTTTGCTTCTATAATTGAACTTGTCAACCTACTGTTTTTGTTATCTACAGCTTTGACCCGCGGTAAAGGCCTCTGATGCGCAGACGACGGAAGCTCCATCCGGTAAATGAAGGCCCTGAGTTTCCCGCCACAAGTCTTGGTTCTGTCAGCAACGCACGACGTGTTGCACTCCGACATGGGAACGAGATCGCTGTCGCGGTGGATCTCGGGACCGCAGTAGCACTCGGCACCGTACTCGAGCCCAGCGTACTCATACGAGCTGAACATAACAATAGACCAGGAAATAAAAAGGAAATTAATTTCAGATCAATCAAGCCACTGTTACAGCGATGTGCTAAAATGCAATACATTTTCATTTCATTCATTCATTCATTCGTTCGTTCATTCATCCATAAATAAGTGGGTGGGAAACTGAATGAGTTTACAAACGTTCGAATCACATCATGAAATGACAAAGAACTTCTGGTCCTGTACGCTCCCGGATCAGACCCCTTTACAGAGGCTAAATGGGGTGATTTACAAAAACACACGCTTCGTTGCCCAAATAAACTGGGGTGCATGGAATTATTCGATATTCGCACGTAACGCTCTGAAGTTGCGTGAGCAACAATTCCTCTGGGAACATATCTATTCTATCCAATCACAGGTTCCTACACTATCCGGCAGGTTGATAGAACAAGCGGGATCAGCTTAGAGTAACGATGGTAGCTGTAATAATGAAATAAATCATTGTTTGTCATTAATCTTGTCGTTGCTGAGGATGATACATACATGTACGTACGCCTCACGAGCACTATCACTGCGCGTATAGAAAAACTGATGAAATGGGGAAAAACACGTTTGAATGGATGAAACATTTCCATCACGATCCCTTGTTGCAAAACATAAGCTTTGTTCTAGGTTACGGGTTTACGGATGTAAGGGCACTAAGCTGTATGTAGTGTAATAAGATAGAAATCTGCCACATCACAGAAAACTGTGATGCAAAAATAGCACCTTTCGTGTTTCCAAAAACTACCTAATATCAACTCGCCCTGTCCCGCAAGGTAACGATTGACGTCACGGGACCAGCCCGGTGTAAACAAGGCTCCATGTGCATGTGCAAAATGCACCTGATTTTCAAGATTTGCACTTAAAAATATTTTGAATGTGCAATTTTGCACCTAAAGCAGAAGGGGGAGGGGGTGCGTTGCAGGCAAAGAGGCTCTCAGACTGTTGGTAAACTTTCTTTATGTGACGTATAAAATGTTTTTAATTTCGGGAAGTTCCAACAGTTATATATTCTAGGGTTTATGACATGTGGAGAGTGGGAGAGGCGGGGAGGAAAGAAATCGTATACCACTTTCAAACCAGCTGGAGAACAGTTGAAAACCGACTAAATATAACTTTGCACATACATGTTTCAAATTGCACCTAAATTTTTGCCAACGTTTTTTGCACGTATTTCGAGCCCTGGTAAACTATGTGAAAATGTCACGGACAAAAGCCTGTTGTATTGTAGTCGACAGAACGGATAGACCTTTCATGAATAATGTATATGCTCTGTGCCTGGTATCGTCATGTGCTGTGCTGTGTTGCGTTCTGGCTAAATTTATAATGTGCCAGCGTTTGGAATTTTACAGTTTTGCATTTGAGTTGTTGACGGCAATCCCGTATGAAACATCCCCTAGCATTGCATCATTGTAGCCAGCGTTCCTACAATTCACGGGAAACATGGTTTGTTTATCGTGCTCGTGTTTGTGTGAGAGACGTCAGTGTGTCCGGCTACATGGCAGCCGGCCATCTTTTTTGGCAAAACAATTTCACACCAAATAAAAATATTAGTTTGACAGAAATGCCCTTCACATATAAACGTCTAACAGGACCCAAAGATTAAGAAACCAGTGATAAATAAAACATTATACAGTAAAACATGTCACCTCAAATGTTGGTTTTAAGCTTTTTAAGAGGAATAACACAATTAGAAATCACTAGAAAGCATAATACGGAGCACTTTGCTTCCCACAGGTCCACAAAGTGCTTTTAAAACGTTCGTGTAACTTGATTATGTTTCCACGAATACTGATGTCATCAATGTCTGAAATATGCTTGGGTAGCTGCGGAATTCGTACCATATAACCGCATGCAAAATTAAGTTGTATATATCAATCTTGAATATGTTGCTCTATATGATGTCCTACTTGTATAGATGCAACCTTGAATGTTGTTCTATTGAATTAAATAACGTACATGTATTCAACCCATTTCCCAATGTGTTGTTCTTTAAAACCTTTTCTACCTCTCTGGACAAGATAATAATGAGATGCGGACTCACTTCTCTTTACACCTCCTAAGGCACAAGTTCACCGTCATTTTGCGGTAGTCCGCGAAGAAGTCGTCCTGCAGGGCCCTCTCCGTGCGGCCGGGCCGGTCACTGAAGCAGCCGAGGGCGGTCGCTGAGGTCGACAGATATTTATTATTCACGACGGAAATATGTGTGCTAAATCAGTAAAACAAATGGCTAAATACACATGTATTCGGGTTACGTTATTAATCTTTTAGGCCAATATAATCGCTGTATTATATCTTAATAAAGAAAGCTATTAAGTAGCATTTCTCCTTGAATTATGCAAATGAAGTACTGATTGAATATTAGTAATTGATAATCAATAGTGTTTACCATCACTTAACTTCCTTATGCGGTAAGTATGAAATTCCCTGCAGTTAGCATTATGAAATTATATCATCTTCGCATTCATTATGCAAATTAGGACTTTCAGATATGTTTCTCTCATTCATACGTCACAAGTTTGACTAGTCCTATCTTGGAACACATCAGGTTTATTATGTTTTATACCTCCATGCGGTTATACTTAATGATAGCACTCGTGTCTTTGTGTGAGTTTGTAAAACAATCCGTGTTGGCAGTTATATATTTTCTTATGTTTTTGTTGTCGCTTTTTCTCTCTTATTCACGAGGCGCTTAAATTGCCCTGCAGGTCAATTTTCATATATTGAGGTTATCTGTGAAAAGGTTTGCGACAGACAAAATATAAAAAAATACAGATTACACGAAGTTCCAAACCCTAACTTATCATATATTTGTCATAGAAGTCATCCTTTTCTGAAAAGGATGGCAAAAAGCTCTAATCCTTCATAACTTGTAGAAACATGTTGCTGGAAAATCGTTATATTACGTGGTGTCAATAAATTGCATAAGGGTAACGACATCCGGGTAACACAATGGCAGCATTGCTATCGCTACACACCCACGTCAGTCGTTTTGTTGTGGAAATTTTAAACATCATAAACATGATATAAGCTTGGTATAGCCTAAAATAATGACACCCAATACAATAATGGACCGTTTACACGCACCCATTAGGGGAAGGCTACGTGTTAAAAGCTTTCTTCCTGCCAACACTCCATTTTGGCTGCTTTTAAATTGACACCCGTTGCACTTGTGGATCAAGTCCCACCAGATCCCCTCTACTTTAGAACCCGGTGCACGAGTGTTTTCGTAGCCACGTAAAGTAGAGCTATCAGTGTCGGACGTTCAGAGTACTTTATGTAAGAAGTGCTAAAATGCCGTGAGAGGAGGATGTGTTTATATGATACGCTACAGCTCTTTTTGTGGGAGTCATTTTAGATGGATCCTGTCCAATCACACGGTACTGTAATTGTGTGCACTTTGTTGTCAAATTTTATCACTGAAATGATTCAAATGCAGTATATTTAGCAGACGGGTATAACGTTACATACTAATGTAATATGCTTCTTTTCTTCATGCAAAACGTGCGAATCAGAAATTCAAATCCTTGTTATCGCCAAACTACGCTTGTCTCCAATCACAAGGCAGTTCCCGCGAGAGTTGGATTAACGAGATTTCAATGTAAATGCCGTGGCGTATCTGCTTCGGTTGTGGCTGACAAGAATCTCACAAAGTTTAAGACTTTTGTGATAGGATCGGAGAAACTGGCAAAGTTGCCAGGGATTTTAGCTGACTAAGGGACGTTGATCTGACTAACTTTATGGCTGATTTCAACTTGTTTCCCACTCATGGGCACTGTAGAAACTGATGAAAACTACATCTTTCTTCGCCCAACCTTCTGGAGGATTGGCATCACGAGCTACCTGGAGGTGCTGTACGCTCGATGTGCTTCTTCCTCTGGTCATTTCTTCCCAAACAACTTCTGCTCCACACGTGATAACCCGTACAGAGCCCAGCAGCTGGGCACTCCAGATAACGTCCATGTCTCAATCTAAACGTCAACATACCCGGCATGTTCGGCCGGTCACTCGGCAATCAGCGCAACCGGCAAAGTTTTCGATTTTTACAAATCGATCTACGAATTGAGGTTGTTGGCCTAGGAGGAGGTTTTCTTTTCTTGTTTCTGAGCTTACAGGGGTATCTGCTGTATATAGAGCATCTGCGATCAAACAGAGAACCGATCATTAGTGAAATAATTGTCCTGGTACGTAGGTACAGTGACCGAGCTGCGAACTGCTAGACTCTTGATAAACATCGACCATAAGTTCGGGCACTTCTGTAATACTTTCTTCACGAATTCAAAAGAATGAAGAACATTGTTGCTTAAATAGGGGTGATATGAGGGAGATTTTTTTTCTTAAACCTGTTTCGTGCCTCAATTTATCAATGCCATACTAAGTCTTACAATTTGTACTTGAAACAAAGCCTCAAAAGAATCATTCTGTCCAGACGGCTTGATATTGGAGAATTCTTCCAAAGTTTTCTTCGATTTGCTCAAAATCCGTTTACTTGCTACGTGGCCTGCCCCGCGTGCACGTAATCATATCTGACAAGCAACATGTTGATATCTGCGAATCGGGTTCTCATGCCTTCCGAACAAAATATGTCAGATGATAAGGAAAGAATAACTTACGTTATTACAGACGTTATCGATCAACGCCCCTGTCAAGACGCTGACCATCTTTTTTCCATCTTCTTATCTTAGAATTATGTCAATAATTTTGACCGAATGTGTCCTTGTATTTTCCCTGACTCTCTTGTCCTGCCTTAGTCCATGCAGTTACTGTGTAGGTATTGAATTTGAGGTCGATCTACTAAAATGCCGTTTTCCGGATGTTGTGCTTTTGTAATTACATTACTTTGTTACTAATAATTTTGGGCGTGGGGTATTGAAATACCGCGTGGGACATGGTAAAGTGGTATAATATGGATGAATGAATGAATGGATAGATGGATGGAAGGATGGATGGATGGATGGATGGATGGATAGATGGAGGGATGGATGGAGGGATGGGTGAACAAACGGTAAAACATTCATATCAAGAATATACAGAAATACACTGTTTTGTAGTGCTCGCTGTATATTTCTTTCAACTTGTTTTGCGTTTTCTTCTTGTATCATACTTTAAATTCAGGCAAACTGCCCGGCCTGACCGTGGTTGGAAATTCTGACCTGAGCATTAGCCGTATGCGCAATAACCATTTTACGGCAGCGTTAGGGTGATCGTCCAATCGCTTTAAAACGCGGTAAAACGTTAACGTTCTGTTATCTCAACTGCACAGCCCAATTCGGAATGACATTTTGAACTTAGGGCAATCTCCAAAAGTTAGGCACACATTCACTTCAACAACTTGCTTCCCCTCTATAACGTTCTAGAAACACATACGTACTAAAAGACCGTCTTCAGTGTGAGAAAGGTATGTAAATATAATCCTTTTCAAAAACATCGAACCAAAGCCCCCGTACCGTCCGTACTCCCACGGCGCATTACAGGCGAGTCACGCGAGGCTATCCTTCCAACAACCCCGCCGTAAATTGTTCAATTTGCCCGCATAAATGGCCGAGATTTGCCGCTAATCTACGGCAGCGCGGGGCAGAGTGAAATCCTCGCCATTAGGTTAATCCACGTTTAACACGAGCCCGTGCGGGGTCGGTAATAACGTTTTATTCGCAATGACTCCGCTGACCTTGAAATATGCCCCCCTCCCCCTTACGGTGTGGCCAGATTCGTCGTTTGATTCGGGCGATTTCTTTCAAAGTCATAGGATTTCCAAGCATGAAATAGATCTAACCACCAATAACCAGTCCGGAATAAACAAGACAATTTACATCTACACAGGTATCCACTTCTGAATTCTTCCATTGGTTTCTGGTCAAGGTCTCAGGGCCTACTTCATACAGGCCTCCAATCAGCTTCTTCCTTACTTCCTGTCTCTGACATTTTGTGAACTGTGGTTATGGAATTCCCTCACCCACTTCCCGTTACTCGTGTGGAAACACACAAGCAAACACACACAAAACAGTACCGAGAAACGCACAAATTTTTACAAAAAAAGACGTTCGTGTATGCGAAACAATCATTACGTGCCTTGTATATATGTTGCGCGCTATCAAACACTTTCTTCATATAAAATCCGACCTTCTATATAATAGTGGAACGAGTCCAACAAGAGTGCTTACGATTCCCACCGAGTGCATCGTACCCATTATACCTCAGTAGTGAGTTCATCTGATTCGACTAACTGGGGTCAGATGATCATGCATTCCAATACTGGTCAGAGAGAGCGAAACCCTCACAACCTATCAAAAGCGCTTTAAATGGATAATCTGGTCATTTCTGAGCCACTACAGTATTACACGTTCAACCGCATCCCATGCATGAAAACAGTGCTCTTGCATGCGACAAGGGCGTATTTCAAACTTTGAAATACGCCCTTGTCGCAAGAATTCAAACCCACTTGAAACAGATGAAAGTGGTCTCAAGTGCAGTTCGAATTGTTTCTCTTTTCTCTCCCCTTGCCTTACAAGTTCACAAAATAAAGAGGCTGTCGAGAAAGTTGTCCAGATACGGCGTCGATGGAAGCTGGCATGCCACAACTAGAGCGGGGGCGGTTTGCCAAGAATGCTGTACCGAGCACTACTTGACTAACACTCGATTCCCCTTCACTTTGGTTCAGTGAGTGGCTTTCAATCAGCCGAGTCCGCCAGGTCATGTGCGAAGTTCCGACCAAAAATAGCCAGCAGGCCATTTTCTTTGAGAAATGCGGCCGGACGTATAACGCATGGCTGAGAAATGCATGCATTCAGCAGGGGTAGCATGGAGAACGGATTTACCCGCTCCAGCGTCGTGACGTGAACTGTCTTTTCAGACGCTCTTCCGTCGGGCGTTCACGCCGGGTTAGCGCTGACGTCAGCAATTTAGAAACTTCGCGAGTTTATCTGTTTGTCAGCAACGCAAGTCGACAAGGCATGACATGCAATTAACGCAGTTGCGAGGATTTCTTTGAGCCCTGGATTAAAACATACGTGAAGGGGGGATCTGAAGAGACAGGCGTGAGCAGCTCAACTCTCATGACGCCATTTTCAATTTTGCTATTTCCTGAACTTTGACCTCGCCAGTGGGATCGGGACATGTAAGACTTGACCGAACTTGAACCAGAATTCAAAGATGGCGGCGGAATAAAATATCACAGAAAAGGTGAAGGCTACATACTAGTAAGTCGATACATGATGAAAGTGAAGGGTACAGCTAAATCGATCGACTTCGTGGAAAAGTCTGTTAACATGCTCTGACTACACAAAGGCGTGAACACGCGGCCTTTGCTGAGAAAAGAAGATCGCGGTTTGTGTCAGTGGGTAAACCATTAATATGAGCACATCACACCTTCTTCCATCTCAGGGTAGTAGAGCTGAAGTTAAGAGAATTTCATGGTCAATGGGCTAGAAATTAGAAATTAATTTACTTTTTCCCTTTTTTAGTCCTGACGGTAGACATGAAAATGAGATAACAGTTTTAAAGGGAAGGCCTATGCGTTAATTTTTTTTTACGATTTTGCTGTTTCAAGTAAACAAGAGATACTCTGAAATGATTGAACTCCCTAGTGTGCCCTTCATTTTATCTCAGGTCGTTTGTTTTATAGCCGTTTTAGCAGATTTCTCCCCGCTTCTGTAAAGACCGTTGGGATTTTAAGTTCAAAGGGGCGGCGTCCCAACTCGCTTTACACAGGAGTCCACATCGCGAGGGTTAACAGGTGGATGTCCTCTTTAGGTCGGATCCATGGTTATGCACATCGATGTCAGTGAAGCCGCGGATACAAAACGACTCATGTTACAACAATTATCCGGTAAATTCTGCGACCGCTGAGTGACCAGATATTTCACACCTCGCATAATTCCATAGACAAAGAACGTTTTTAACGTTTTGTGCTGTTTTACTTCTGCATCGTGCATCATTTTGAAATGAGTGTCACACAAATCCAATTTTGGTGGCTCAGCGATCGTCATCTAGTGGGGAAAAGGAGCCTTATAGCTGCTTATAGGCCGATTCTATTAGTTTTCTTCTCATAATTCGCTCATATTGTTTTAAGTCTTCTGTAGATTTCACCCACCAACTCATAACGTTTGAGGGGCCGTAAAAGTAGTAGTTGCACCAGGCTAAGTCTATTTACTGTGAGTCATTTACTGGTAGCACTAAAATCCACTTATAAAGCCTTGGACTTTTGCTGTGTTTTTTTATCAGGAATGATATTTTCCCTCATCGATCACTTCAAGTCTGTTGTCCTTTTTTATAGAAGGACAACCAAACAATATAGTAAAGACCATCCGGTAGTGGACCCTTAGATGATCAAGGGTGTACACTGAACGATATATCAACCACTCTACTTCGCTTTGATGGATGCCCAATTAACAATCATCTCTGACAGGTAAGCCTGTACTCCTGTCTTCCTTATCAGCATTACTCATTTTAAAAGCACTCACTCTGACAACATTACCCTTGACTTTCTCCACAACACTTGTTGCTCCTGACTCAACACATCCCCCACTTCGAATCAATCAAAATCCGTTTTCAGGGAATCAAATTTTCCACAGGGCAATTTAAAGTAATCTTCGTTCCTGGAATTCGCTGCAGCACGTCTATTAGGCGAAGGGAATGAGTTGTTCCGAAGAAATATAAAACTAGTTAGGGGTGATTAGAAAATACTCAGTGGGGAAGGGAAGGCATGAAATTTGCAGAAAAAAAAATAAGTAAAAAGACTGTACCCATTCCTATTAAAGCTACCTGTTCTGAACATACGTTTAGAAACACCTGACCACAAGCATGTGCAAAAAATTTTGAAAATTTCCATTTTCACCTTACACTGCATTCCATTGTACATGTATACTAACATTTCTATTGCTTTGCTTCAGTTTTCAAAGAATGGCTGGTACTCCTGTTATATTTGACTAAAGCTGTATAAAAGTCTATGAAGCCTATAGCTGTTAGCTTTTTATTTTATGTTAACAAGTTTGAGAAAACTTACCGTTAATTCCTGAGATGACCATCTTTACCCCCGCTGGGAGTTCCCTTTTTCTGCTCCCGTTCCCTTCGCCCTCGTTCCCACGGTACTCAGTCGGTGGGACGGGTGCCGTATCCTTCCGGGCGGGGTCGATCACACCGCCCGATAGACCGTCCCTTCCCTCCCGGAACTGTCTCGTCTCTGTATCGGACTGGGGCGCTGAATTGGAGTCCCTACCGCTTTTCAACAGCCTCTCGCGAACCACTAGCCCTTCGCTCGGAGGGTTCGCTGCCGGGATGGCGCTGCGGTTGAATCTGAGAGCCCGGCCGGCGGTGTGAACGTGGCCGGTCATGTACGTGCACAGGCACAGGCCCAGCGCCAGGACGAGCAGCAACGTTCTCCTGTTCCCCAGGGCTCGTCTGTACAGGCGCTGCAGCTTGGTCAACAGGCGGGCCATGGTCCTGCTCAGTCCGCCTATCCTCGGTCGCTGCGACACTGCTTGGCATCTACCTCATGTGCGACCTGCGAGAGGAGAGGGAAACGTTTAGGAATACGAATGAGACGGCCCGGCGCAAGCCTTGTGTGCGGGGAGGTGAGTGAATTATACCCCGGGCCGGATAGGTTTTCTCCCCCCATCTGACGCCGGGCAGGTTGTGAATGGCCTGAGGCGAATCAGCCGGTGTCATCCCAGCTAGATTGTGTAGATACGACCAGTACTCGCACGACCTTCCCCCATAACACGCAATGGGCCGGGGATCGTCCCGACTTATAAATATTTCTTCATATTTCTCTGGGGAAATATCATCCCCTTTCGATGATGTATTAAACCTTGTTAGCGTTTGTAGTGTTTCTGTTTCTGAAATGCTATGGTATATATTTTGTATATGTCAATGTCTTTCCCTATTTCTTCAGAGAATATTACCTTCATCAAGAACTTTCAACATACATCATACTCGTACAACACAACAGACCTACCACAGTCAGAGTATTAGTAAACCTGTACAGACGCAAATTTAGACCTTGCCACGTACATTACACGAGGCACTATTTCCAAACTTCAAACTCCACTGTCTCACATCTATAACAGCCAATTATACCGCAGAAGGTGAAAATCCTTTCAACCGCTGTATTCGAAAATATCACATTATTTATTAAAGAGGCTCACAGTGATTCTCCGGACACGTGTGAATTGCGTTTAGTCTTCTTTCCTCGAACCTGTATTATTTCTGGACACTAGGCTTATTCTGCATGGTTTTTTTATCATGCAGGTTTTCCTTTCCGTGACATCATGTCCTTTTTATTGTGAGTGATCAGATATAATCTGGACTTTCGGTGCACGGCAACAGCTGTGCAACTTTCCTTGCGGACCACGACTTGATATACGTCAGCAGCCACAATATCGATACTTTATCTCCCAGAACAAGCAAGCCTCCATAGATAAGATAGCGGGTCAGTGGCACACTTACGTGACAGCTTGGTAACTAATCATACATAAAACTACGTGAGTATATCATCTGCCTTATGATGAAACATGTTGTGAAATCAATGCTTAGTGAAAACGTAGCCGTTATCGCATAGTTGCAGTATCCACTATCTCTCTCTCTCAACCTTTTCTTTCTCTCCAAACCTCCCGTTCCATCAGTATCTTTGTATCTATTTATCTATCCATCTATCCATCTTATCTATCCATCTTTACATCTCTTTTAGGCACAGGGCTAGAGAGAGAGAGAGGGAGGGAGAGAGAGAAAGAGATTAGAGGAAAAATAAAAGAATAGATGGGCAGAGACGCAGACAAAGAGAAAGAAAAATACAGCTATATAAAATCATGTTTGTCATATTTGGCCATAGGTAGATAGATAACTCTTTGGGGTCGGGGAATGAAAAGTGGGGCATTTACCCATTCTTTGTTGCCGAATATTTGTGGCAATGTTGTGGCCGTACCAAACTAAGGACAGACCCACATTTACAGAAATACGTGACGTCAGCTAGACTTTGACGTCCTCGTCCAACCCTTCGTGTCAAGACGTGGTTATCCACACACGCGCTCCTCTCTCATTTCTCTCTGCCAAAAATACTCATTACACGGCTGTAATGTAATTGAAATGACGCCATCAGTCTTATCAAATTGAGTGCATTTACGCAACACTTTAGTCAGAGTGGTGGCTGATGACGGCATTACCATCAACACAATCCTTCATATTCCTCTGAACTTCAATTTGCGGTACGTATCATTAAACCTCGCTCTTTCATGTTTAAGATTCAGTAAGATCACCGCGCTTTTGCGAAATTGGGGATCAAAAATTATTTTCTGGGTACTGGGTATTATGGGTTATCAGAGCACCGCGTGTGTGTGTGTGTGTGTGTGTGTGTGTGTGTGTGTGTGTGTGTGTGTGTGTGTGTGTGTGTGTGTGTGTGTGTGTGTGTGTGTGTGTGTGTGTGTAGAGAGAGAGAGAGAGAGAGAGAGAGAGAGAGAGAGAGAAGGGGGGGAACAATTTAGGTTAAAAGAAAATCTTGTACGATATTTGCTGTGACCATATGATACTATGACAGGGCTAGCCGACAAGGATCTAGAACAACCTCATTCTACACAATGCCTAAATTGTGTATACACATAAACGTCTGCCCTCAATAATGTTCTCATATCATGTGTTACAGAGTATCGAACACTATAACAAATAGCAAAGGTCTAAGAAAAGAAGTAATAAGTCGCTCTCTGTAAGTCGAGGGGCGGTTATACTGACTACACAGATATAGATACAGACACAGAAGACACGGCACGGCACACTAAAAGCCAGTTTCCCTCGACATCACATATAACTACTGGCTTCGAGATCAAGATACAGCCCCCCTGACGGATACGTACCGGAAATAGGGAGCTAGTGGAGCGCCCTGCTCGTGTATAACAGTAAGTGGGACAGGGGGATTGTCAGAGATAACTCCGCCGTCCGGATGGTGTTTAAAAGTGAACGCCGCTCCCCTGTCCATCCCGAGCCGCGCTCTGTATACTCAACTACGCCAGAGTTCCATAGATCACCGCAGAGGTTGGGTTGAACTGACGCACATGCAGCATATGTTAGCGGTCTTTAGGGCAGGGTGGACTGTAATATAAGATGGCTTACCTATCCCACGGCATTTTAAGCACCCCTATAAAAACATTTCGGTACAACCAGGAATATCAATCAGCCTAACTCCGTGTTAGAACGTTAAAACTTGTCTGGGGTACAACACAACGGTCTAGAATACGAGGTAGTGTGGTTCCCAGGCAATTTTACCTTCACTTGTTACAACCTAACAATAGCGCCAATCAACCGCAAAAACCCAGAGCTAACGACAAGAGAAAACAGAGCGGAAAAGCAAAACAAACAGAACAGAAGCGCGCGTCGGGAAAGTACGAGGGAAGCGGGACGATATTGATGGTCCGTTTGCGCAGACCTGACGCTCCAGTCTTACCTAGTCATTTGGAGGGATTGGACGTACCGGCGTGGAGCGAATCAATCTCCGACAGGCAAAGGCTCCCAGGCGCTGGGGATCCGAACATGGCGGCGGACACCTGTCTTACAGGCCCGTTAGCGGAGGCATTAGCATATGAAAGGAAGGTCGCCTCCCTAGCGTGACAGGCCGCCGCGCCACGGCTCAGGTTACCCCGGGTACATGCTCACCTGAGTCCGGCAGGTGTGGGGATGGGAAAACGCACGATGCCACGAGGACGTCATACAGGACATGGCTCATCTTAGCATGAACAAACGTGAGAAGTGTTCAGATTTAGGACGGCCAAACTCTGTCCAGTTCTAATGATATATGCACACGTGAGGAAAATTGTCCTCAGCTAAGGCCAAAAGCATTTCGAAGTCGGGCCTCCACCATGTGGCTGTATACTATGGGCCGTCGAGCCTGAAATAAATGAATGAATAAATAATAAAGGCCTTTTCTTCTTATAAGACATCGTCGACAAAACTATAGAATCTGTTTATCCGTCGTTTTGTCTGCTAGTGTACATAAGGTCTCAATGGCTTGCAAATTCGCGTTATGAACAACATAGTAAGATCGACAGATGACATGATTTTGCAAATACCGCTGCACTCACAAAGTTATTGCAGAAGCTTTATATTCTCTGCAATATCCAAGTTTCTGGAAGTATATCACAGCATCAGCAACAGGAGACTCCGCACACGTACATTCATCATCACCAGAAGAAGCCAACATGCAACATTAAAGGATATCTCCTCAGAAGCGACCCTTCCTTCTGAGACTCATAAATCTCACGGCTGTGTCCATCTATCACAAGTTCCCACCGCCCGGCGAGCAGAACGCCTCCTGCATTAATGATTTATACACACGGAGAATGGGCCGGAATCTTCCCGGGTCAGAGAATGCCAGCCTGGTGGTACAGCCGATCCATCATACAGGGAGGCGGGGCAGGGACGGCGTCCGAGGCGAGCGTGTGATGAACTTGAATTCTGTAAACACTGTGGCTGAGTCGAGCTGCGCGTAATCACAGATCGGCAAACACTGTTATTAACCATCACGATAGCGGAGAGGGTGTGATTTGGTAAAACGGTGCGATGCGCAATTCAAGCTGCATGCCGCTTCAGTTTCAGAGCACGGCGAACCCCAATTACTCTAAAAGCTCTCTCGGCGAGGGCCCTTTCCGGCAAGACGTGAGAAAATTAACTTGCAGATGCGCTATCTGTCGTTACAATCGTTATCTGAATCTGTAGACCTAACGCTCAGAACTACACCCCTGAGGAAGGCTTAAGCTGTAACTAACGTGTTAGAATTCCTCCTAGCTGGAACATTGAGTATAAAATCCTAGTCTCCACCAGACTTCTTTAGCAGGCTAACTAAATTGTAGAAATCGGCCTAAAAAGGGATAACATTGGCCAGAGGATTCGGCCACCCAGAGAAGCTCCATTTTGCCTTCTTCTTTTGGAGGACGATTCCTTTGGCCAATGACATCCCCGATTTCTACTATTTATTCAGCATGCAAAAGGAGTCTGGTGGAGACTAACAAAATCCTAGGTCATAATATCACAGTCGCTATTCAAAAGCCAAGCGATTTTCATACAGAATTACTTGCGTGACGCCTTGGTGGGTACGTGGCTTACGTGCTAAAGTACTGAAAACTTCCTCTCTATAAAAGCGACGACACCAGGTCAAATCGTCCTAAGTCTTCTCAGAGTATTAAGTTTATCTGATGTCTCCTGTCTTACGTGTGTGTGTGTTCGCTAGTGTGTTAACAGGGATCAAACCTTGCTCTCCCGGGACGAGGCCGCCGGCTCAGCAGTTTGCATTATGCAGGCGGACCCCTCACCTTGACTGACGTCGGTTGTGCTTGGTAGAATGGTCGCGGAATTACACCACTTCATCCTCGCACTTGGCGAGAAACTTCAGCCTGTTCACAGTTAATACGAGCACTCGCCGGCAGCGATAAGGGAAAGAGGGCTTTGTACATGTAAGCACCTGTGCACTAGAGCAAGTAAGCACACCGATGTATTTGTACTAGACAAGTAGATACTGTATCTACTTTTATATATAATACCCGGCTTCCATGGCTTCCATAGAATAATTTGAACGCGTTTCGCCCTAACCGCGTGCACCGCTTTCGAAAATTCGAATCCAGAATTGACATTGGAATTGATGTTGTTGTTGCACGTTTGGTTTGGGGGCACCAACTTTTCGCTCATTTCGCGTTGAAAGGCGTGTTTTCTTGGGAGGGTATGATATGAATATATTTTCGGACGTCGGACGATCCAACGCGCGGTCGGGCTGATACCTCGGGCGATATACGGAATACCCCGTGTCGTATTCTATATATCTAGTAGAAATATATATTCAGAGAAGACCGCAACAATTGAGATATTGAGACAAAATACCAATGTTTGTGACTCCCGTGACTACACAAATTCGTCATTTTACTGTTCTATATGGTTTTGAACTCGTTGCATTATACATTAGGTAAAGACTACTTGTAGAAAAGAAAAGAACTTGCCAGAAGCCATTTTGCACGGAAATGGTACTCCGTGGCTAGACGTTTAAAAGGTATTTGTGACCGGGAAGGCACAGCGCTTTCAGAAACTTGGCAAAGCATCGATTTCTTTAAGAAAGTGGCGACTTCGACAAGTGGCGCGACTGTCTGAGAAAGCACTTATCGCGTCTTGAGTCATCCGTAACAAGTTCTTCAATAACTCCTGAAGGGTACCGACTGCCTTTTAGCCTCGCTCGATATCCCTGCCCCTTCCTACTCTCCAAGTAGAGGTTTGGGTTTGGGGTTATTTTTGACGTGTTTACAATGGGTGAAAATAATTCAAGTGCAAAATGTTATGTTGGGTGAAAAAAATATTCCAGAAACCCCGATGAAAAAAGCCTAAAAACACGTGCAGGTCAAAAATAACCCAAAACCCAAACCTCTGCTTGGAGAGTAGCCACTTCCCTTCTTGGAATGTGTAAATTAAACCAGCAAATATACATTGTAAAACATGTGGTACGGACGTATTAAAAAAACAACCAACTCAATACGTTGCCCCTTTAAAACTCCAGTTTTGTCTTCCCTTCATATGAAGTCAGTAAATATTAAACAATCAAGATCAGTAAATTAAGTTGCATTCATCGACTGTTCCCCTTAGAAACTAGGTTAAGGATTAATTAATACTATAAACGAATAATCCTGAAATCCGCTTCCGCATAAGAAAAAGGCATTTATTCCGCCTCGGCTTAAAACGATCAATACACACACAGGTCGCCTGGTTCTTACATGTCACCGATCTTCTTATATCATTACCAACATCCAACCTAAGCCTTCGGTAACAATTAAGCGACACGGCGTGGGTTAGGGGGTCTTAGCGTTCCTCCATTATTCATTGTTCCGTACAAAATCGTCCCTACGATCAGAGAGGATGTTTCAAACGATCATTGACTCGCCTCTTCTAGAAGAAAAAAACTTCTGCAATGGTAATCACACGTTTTTATAGCATCTCCTCATTTATATAGCCTCTACCAGACTTCTGAGGCGGCTAGAAAGAGTAGAAATTGGCCAAGTAGAATCTCCAGCTTCAGCGAACTAACTCCCTTGGCATATTACGAGTATCTGTCTAGTATGCCAATTTCTACTCTTTCCAGCCGCTTCTGATATCTGGTGGAGACTACCTTTTTGACACCCTACAATATATGCCACCCACCCCCTCACACAACTCTCTGGCGACTGCTTGGCTAGAGAGCAGTAGTCGTTATGCACAGGGGAACACTGAACACTTGAAGTAATCACCAGCCTCAGCCCACTTAATCCTACACCAGGCCGCCGGACTAGGATCTTATGGAAATGACCACATGTGTATGTATGGGACCTATTTAGTCTGACGCATGGCACCCCGTAAAGCTAGCATTTGCAATGTCATCATTATCCGTCTACACGCAACCAGAGGGGACTTAAAATGCTCTACGGTAGCATGGCGGTTTTGAATAAACAGTGCATTTTGTATCTGCTGGCTTTCTTCTAAAGATAGCCAAGTCTGAAGGAAAAGATACCATAGGGACGAAGATACCTATCTACAAAACTTAACATGTAGCATAGCATTTGCAATGTCGTTATTGTCAGTCTACATGCAACTAGGAATGAACTCAAAATGCTTTACGGTAGCATGGCGGTTTTGAATAAAGAGTACATTTTGTATCTGCTGGCTTTCGTCTAAAGATAGCCAGCTTGACGAAAAAGATACCACATTGAAGAAGATGCTATCTGTCAACCTTTACATGTAGGTTACCCCATAGCTTATGGCTACACTGTTATCCAGGACATGGGCGCTCCTTGACGTAACCAGGGCTTACAGCGTATTGCACCTTGTGGCTCTATCGGGGCTGTTAGTATCTGTTACGTAAATAGGACTGTGTAAGGAGTGATCCCTACATTCCATCACTACAGAAAGATTCCCATTGAGACGGACATTACATGCGGATAGCAAGACAAAGTTTACTGTACCCTCTTCTTCCGGGTCTGAACAGATCCTTACTGTTTTATTGATGAGAGCACGTGGCCCCAATAGTGACGTTATCCTTGCTTTGTTGCCGAGCTGAAAGATCTTTCCTGGAAAATAAAAGTGAATGTAGTAGAGACAACACTACGCTGTCTAATAAGCACCCTGCCAACAGTTCGAATTCGTCAATTTTGTAGCAATCCTTCTCAAAATTGCAAGAGATCACAACGTAAGACAATTTCCGGCCTACTCTTGCATTTTATTTATCTATGACTAAAGCGCCACGCTAGAATGGCAAGGCTTTATGAAGTGAATAAAGAATGGACATTCCATTCCATTCGGCAGGTCTCATATCGAGACAACGCCTCATGCTGAGTACACTGAAGACGCCCTAGCGCATTCTGAAAAGGTCAGGACTGTAACGTTATCCCAGTGTTAGGTCTTCTGTGCAGAAGTATAGTTTTAATACATCATGGGGGACTGTAGGAAGAAGACCATTAAACCCCCCACAATATTAAACTCGCGAATAAAAAAAAAGACCCGATAAGTACACGCTACCATAGCACCAGCCCCTCCCATG